CAACCTCTGGTCCAAAAGAGCACAGCATCTCCATTGCTTTTACAGAATATTAACACAGCCACCCCGGGGAAATGTTTTAAAGATGTTTTGCTGACTCTCTGATGGGCTCTAGCTTTTCAAGGTTTTATTTTAGTACTTTCTGCCTGGAAAGTGTCAGTGAGGCCCACATTTGGTGAACTCTGACTGTGTGCTCAGCGTGTGCAGCAGTGCTGTGGTGTTCAGCTGGATGAGGTGTGGTTCCTCTGCTCAGGACATTTTTTTATCTCATTGGGAAGCCAGGAAGCAACACATTACTGTATACAAAGTATTAAGTTGCTGGGAAGATCATAATGTTAAAAGCTGAGAGGCTGAGAGCCAGAGTAGTAGGAGGAGGCTTTCCGGAGAAAACAAGGCCCGCTCTCCTCTGCTTCTCTGGTGCCCAAAAACCTTGTGATAAAGCAGTGTTCTGTTGGCTTTGGCGGTTTCTCAGATAAATTCTCTTCAGGATCTCTGTAGAGTTTGGGGAGAAATGGTCCAAGCCTCTAGAGACTAGACTGGCTGCTTGTCCCTGGGTACTGGTGGCTGGTTGATGACCAGTCTGCCTCAGGGTCTCTGGGCCTTGGTGTCCTCTTCTTTAAACAGCACGTTCAGCCAGATGGCCCGAAGGTGCCTTCAGTGTTGGTGGCCTAGCTCATACTTCCCACAAGAATAGCTTTCTGTTCCTCAGCCGCACACCTTTGAGATTTTTCACCCAGTGGGACTGAGAGGAGGCCTGTGTAATAGACCCTCACTACATGTGGTTTTGTCTGGAGGGTCTCTGCTCATGCTGCTCATCTGTCAACTTGCCCTTCTCTCCTGCCCACTCATACACCCTGGCACTGCATTCATGTTCTAGAAATAAGTAGTGAGGTTCATTTTCCAACTCCTCCCCCAGCCCTGACTTTGTACCAGAACATCCATAGGATTTTTTATATGTTTGAACTAAGAAATTTTAGCCTTCATTAAAAAATGGCATTTTTTTATTGCTTTTCTTCTCTCTTCTTGGAGCTGTCATTCTGCTGATTCACTCCACATTCACTAAGCTGGTCATTAATGAACTGAGTTGATCAGCTTTACTTTAGAATGTAAATTTCAAAATTTTATGTGCGCTCCCATCTCCCTTTCATTGCAGGTACACTTTCCCTACCACCCCCCCCCAAAAAAAAAGCACATTTCATGAATTATTTACTCGTTATATTGTAATCTAATGAATCAAAGTTGGCCTTTGATGTGCTGTATTCCAAGGTTCTAGCCAGTCTCTTTGGGATATATTAAGGTGACTGGTAGACTTGAGAGATTGCTCTTTCTTTTTTTTTTTTTTTTTTTTTTTAATTTTTTTTTTTTTTATAGAGGCATGTTTATTTATTTATTTATCTGTTTGTTTGTTTGTTTTTGTTTATACATGCACTGGGTACAGTCAGAAGCGCGGGAGGGTGAGAGAATTCACCAGAGCCAGAGCTGGGAGCAGAGCAGGCAGAAGGACCGAAGTACACTGCTGAGGGGAGCAGCGGGCGGCAGGAGAGGTCTGCGCGCCATGCGGGACCCTCCTCCGGTGGCCGGGGAGCAGCTGGGGATCGAACCGGCGCCGCAGAGGCCGCGGGCAGGTTCGCAACCCAGCGCTCAACCGCTGCGCCACCGGGGAGGCCCGAGAGATTGCTCTTTCAATGTGCAGAAGCCCAGCATGTGTTGGGATATTCCTCAGTGATTGTGGACTTTGGGTCCTTTTGAAAACAGTGCTGAATTCTCAGAGGAAAACTGGCATGGCTTCGCCAGGGTCCTCTGGTTTGGTTCTTCCCAAATCCAAATTAAGGCCATTTTTCTGTGACATGGTTTTGGCTTCCTGGAATACTACTTGAAGACCTACTCTCGGGGCCTCTGAACTTGATTTATTGATAATTAAGATTGTCATCGTCACCTTGAAAGCTAACCCTATGGGCTCCTTGGAAGTCTGTCCTCTGAGTCAGTCGTCTTCCTTTTTGGGGTGTAGACAGTAAGACCAGGGTGAGCTCATAATGTGTTCTCATGGATGTGGTTTGATACCTGGCAGCTCAGTGAAAAATTTTTTTTACTTCCCTTTGTTTTTCAGCTGTCTGTGCTTGATGTACAAGTTAAAACAGGATTGTTGCTCAGTAGCTTTATGTGCAAATTTAAAACAATACAAAGAAAAATTAGCTCTCTGGTTTTAGTTTAGATTTTGGAGCTTGCCAGGCCCTTGTATTTTTAATGTATAAAATAGAACAAGCATTCAGGCCAAGGTCCTTGCACAAAAATGGGATCTCTGAGGCAATAGCTCCATGGAAATCTCCACTAAATAGTAAGAGCCAAGGCAGAATGGTAGTATTACAGTGACTGTACACCGAAGTTGGGGGCAAGTAATTTCTTCTGTTTTCCCTATGTAAAGTTGGGTTTAGTAAGTATTCAATTGGTTAATATGCAGCAATTCTTCACGTTCATCTCTTTTTTGCTTCTTTTTTCCATGAGATTATAAAAAACGATTCTTAGGGACATTGATATACAGGAACCAGATGATCCATCCATAAGCTGAATTTACAAGTTGTATCAACAATGGGGTGCTGCACTGTCTCCCGCCTACTGTTTTTTAAGCCATATAATGCTGTATCTATTGATAATTCTGAGGCTGAAGGGAGACTATCTCTGGAATATGAAAATCACATAAATTTCTCATAGATGCAAATGGACCTGTGTGTGATAACAAAATTGAGTCACTAAGAGGAAATATTATCTTCTGGCCATAAGTAACTTTATGGTTCCTGTTTTTTACCATGACCTTGGGAGTTGAGCTGAGTATCTGGTTTTAAGGCATTTACTTCCCTCGGACATTTATTGGTCTCCCTTCCATGTATGTCGTCTGTGTCCCATTAATGTAGTTCCTAGGAAGTACACTTGCTGCAGAGCTGATGACCTTCCACTTGGACTGAGGTAACCTCCAACTTTTACTGAATCTTGCTGACTTCACAGTTTTTCTGCATCAGGGGCCGGATGAGGGGTCTGGCCAAATGCAGACACAGTTATTGCAGGCACGGAGTTAAAGGTGGATGAGCTAGAGGGAGCCGGCCTGGGGAAAGTCTGGGCTTGGTACCTTCCAAGTTAAGAAGCTGCTCTCACTATGGACTTTCAAGCTCGGAAGGGACACACTTGGAAAGCCTTTTTGCAGAGGTGAATCCCACAACTGTTTTAGAGGTTATTAGCTGGGTGTGGAAAGATTGTAAAGTCACAGGGATAAAGTAAACACGGAGGTCACTTTAATCCAAGTGTAAGGTCATAAAGTCTGAATGTGAGCACAGGAACAGGAAGAGATAAGTCTGAAGACATTCTAGACAGGAAATGGCACCACATGGTTAGAGTACCTTTACCTTACAGAGTGTGACTTGCTATGAGAGGGTAATATTCACAATAACCCTAAGACATTTTAAGACTTTGAGGGCTTGCTTTCTGAATTAGAAATCTTAAATGGCATTTACCATAATGGCATGGAGAAAGGTATTTCACACTATTTTAATTCTTTGAAAGTTGGTTATCTAGAATATACAATACCCTGTGCTCAGCTGATCTGCAGAATAGAATTCACTGTATTCTCAGGCTGGACTCCTAACTGTAGCTTTCCAGGAAAGGGAAAATGGCAGAGGGACTTCAGGTATTGCGCCCGGATTGACGACGTCAAAATCAGTTTAGATGTGGCAGAAGCCACCCACAATGGCCATTAAGAAAGCAAGCTACAAGGTAAACCTTAAAATTCAAAACTGTTACCCTAAAATTAACATGAATCCAGAGAAAACACTTGGTAGCAAATGAATGAAAAATGTCAAACACGTGTATGATTTGTGCTTCAGTTAAGCTATTGAGAGAGGATACAGAAAATACCCATTAAACTCTTGAGTGGTGCAGTGGATGTGTCCTACAGTGGGAAGGTGATGTGAGCATGTACATTCCTGTTAACACCTTCACACCTTCCTGCGTTTCACGTGATCTCTTCATTGCAGGAGTTGTTTCCCATGCGCCTGAGGGCTTTGCCTGGGTTCAGTCTGTAGTGATCACCAGCCTGAGCCTGCAGACTGCTGTTCTCCATCCTGCAGGACTGATTTAACCATTTCTTAGGATTGTTTGACTGGCTGGACACAGACTGCAACACTGCCTTTTTCCTTATCTTGCTTCCCTTTCCACTACTGTCATCAGGAGGGTGGGAGTTGGGGTGTGGAAGGTTTTCTTAAAAGATCGTTTTTGGCTGTCATCCTTTAAAATTCAGGACTTGGGCCTCCCCGGTGGCGCAGCGGTTGAGCACTGCGTTGCGAAGCTGCCCGCCGCCTCTGCAGCGCCGGTTCGATCCCCGGCTGCTCCCCGGCCACCGGAGGAGGGTCCCACATGGTGTGCAGACCTCCCCTGCCACCCGCTGCTCCCCTCAGCAGTGTACTTCAGTCCTTCTGCCTGCTCTGCTCCCCGCTCTGTCTCTGGTGAATTCTCTCACCCTCCCGCGCTTCTGACTGTACCCAGTGCTTGTATAAATAAATAAATCTTAAAAAAAAAAAATAAAAATAAAATTCAGGACTCTAAGCAGACACTGGTGATATGAACGTCCTGTTAAACATCATTTGGCTTTGGTGCCAGCAAACTGGCAATCTAAAGAAATAGGCATATAAAATAAAAGCAGAACAAAAAAGTTCTTTTCAAACAAACAGGGCATTCCTCGCACAGCATCCCTTCCTGGGGGCTGGTGACAGTGAGGAGGAGAGTAGTGTTGGTGTCCTCCAAGTGCCCCTTCTGGGACCTGGATCCTCAAGTCTACTTCTGAAGCCAAAGGCTTGACTAAGGAAGAGTTTGTCTCCACAGAGACCTCTTTGTCAGTGTGGCTCAAAACAGATGGTTTTTCATCTTTTTCCCTTTTCTCTCTTCCCCTTCACTTCCCAAAACTCAGCGCCTGGATGATTTTTTAAAAACCCTTCATCACTCTTTACTTTGTCTTCTAGTGGTTTGAGTCCAGCCAATGACACTGGAGCCAAAAAGAAGAAAAAGAAACAAAAGAAGAAGAAAGAGAAAGGCAACGAGATGGATTCAGCCCAGGACCAGCCTGTGAAGGTAACAAGGAGCCTCTGTTTTCTTGTGACTGAGAGTGACTTTTTCAGATGAGAAAGTTTTGGGGTAAATGTATAGGAACAATTTAGATTGACAATCTCCACTGGTATTACTTCAAGATGGAGGAGTTGGAGCCCACTGCTGCCCTCTGCTGCCCTAGACCTAGGTGATGAAACTGCTATCCTACCTTAAAAGACACAGCAGGTTAGCCATTGACTCCCACGCATGGCCCCTCAGAGTTGACAGGTGCCTAACTGCATGTGGTGCTGTGCCAGGGGCCGCTGTGATGGCCCTGCTGCCTAGAGCAGTGGTTCTCAGCCTTCACATCTCCAGCCCACTGCTGTGGGTATGAAGGCCTGTCCTTTTCTACGCAGACCTTTATATATTCCTAGCGTTTTCTCAATGCCATCGCCTTTCTGACGAAAACCGGGAGTCCCACAGAGTCCTTTTCTAAGTTCCACCAGTTGAGAACCACTGGCCTAGAGCTCGCAACCTCAGACTGACACACTCATGAGACCCAGAGGTCTGGGGAGGATGGTTTTGTCTCTTTAATCAAACAAAGAAAATCTTTCATTTCAGGTAAGTGCTGTCCTCTTCAAAGTAGGCCATAGGGGAGGCTCAAAATATGGCCGTTCCTCCTCTAAATTTGTGCCCCTGAAACAATTTACAGGCCTCACAAGAGATCTGCTCTCGTTGCAGTATACCCACACTTTGCTTTACGCAGCACACAGTGCGCTCCAACTTGAGTCTCTTGCCTTACTGAGACGTGGCTTCAAGTAATTTATTTGCTATTATCAATATCAAATCCACTGTTAAAAAAACCACTATCACTGACCACCATGCTGGCTAGGATCTTGCCAGACACTTCATTTAAATTAACCCCAAACCTTCTTTAAGGTAGGTGTATTGGGGGTGGGGATGCTTCCCATTTTAAGGAGGAGAGGGGTGACTTACCCAAGTCTTTCAGTCAGGAACTCTAGCCCTAGCCTGTGCCTTGGCTTTGGGGGGTTTTGTTTGTTTGTTTGTTTGTTTGTTTGTTTGTCTGTCTGGAGGGTGTTTGGATGACTCCAAAGGAATTTGAGCTCAAGCCCCTAACAAAATGGTTCACTTTGTGTTTACATAGCCCTGTTTTCCTCTTTGTGAGAATAATGTAGCTCATTAGAGAGAATTTAGAGTAAGGAAAAAAAAGAGGAAAACTGAAATGATATATAGTCTTACTCCCTGGGAGTGACGGTTAAACCTGTTGATTTATAGTCTTCCTTTCCTTCACAATTTAAATTGGAGGAGAAAAGAAATAGTAAAGTTAATATAAGAAATCCTGGTTATTTCTATAATCTTAAACCCGACATAAGACTCAGAAGCCATAAAGAAACATTCACAATTTTAAAACTTCTCTGTGAATGTTAAGATAAGTAAACTAGTGAAAAGATATTTGTAATACTTGAATCAGTCAATTTAAAATAATGAAGTGTGCATGCAATTCACAAAGAAAATATAAAAAAAATGTCCAGTGTATGAAAAGATGGTTAACCTGACAAGGAAAGACATGAAAATTGAAGCAATATCTTTTTTCTCCTTGATTGGCAAAGATTAAGATTTGAAAAGTGTGATGATGACAGTCTGGAGAAACACATGACATTGTTCATCGTGTTATTAATTAAATTCTCTTTTTGGAGAGCAGGTTGATATTACATATTATAATTTTAAATATGCACATCCTTTGACCCAGCAAGCCTCTTTCCAAGAGTTTATCCTGCAGAAATATATTTGTCAGTGAACAAGGTAGACATACAAGAAAGTTCATTACTGCGTTTATAAAACTGAGGAACGAAACCACCAAGACACTCACGGTGGGGCTTGACTACACTGTAGTCCATGCACACAACTGGCTCAGCTGTTTCGCTGGACAGGTCTGTGTGTCCCCACGGAAAGGTCTCTAAGACATAACATTTAAGGAAGAGCAGTTTGTGGAATACTCTGTGATCCAACTTTAGTTTTTGAAAAGCGTGTGTGTGTTTGGAACTTGCATGCAAAAATCTGAAGTTACATTTGCCTCCTCTTCTCACCCTTCTCACCCTCTTCTACCTCCCAAATTAAGACTGTTGATGACAAGGATTATATTTGAGGGGTGGGATTGTTGGGATTTTACTTTCTATATGTATCATCCCTTTCTGCATTGTTTGAAATTGTACCTTGAGCATGTATTACTTTGCCATCAAACATCACAAGACTAAGCCCTGTAGGAAGCTCCCACTCATCCTGCAGCTTATCGTCACCCCGATCCCCAGTTGTCATACAACACATGACCTATGGGGTTAGGACAGAGGACATTCCTTCTTTGAGTTGTACCCCTTCATTCCCAAACTTCTAATTAACCTAAAGTGCTTATTAACATAATGGGCCTTTTTCTCCCCGACTTTGTCTTGTCCAGATGAACTCTTTGCCAGCAGAGAGGATCCAGGAAATACAGAAAGCCATCGAGCTGTTCTCCGTGGGTCAAGGACCTGCCAAAACCATGGAGGAGGCGAGCAAGCGAAGCTACCAGTTCTGGGACACGCAGCCCGTTCCCAAGCTGGGTATGTCAGCTCTTTCTTCCCTAGTTGAGGGTGAGAGGCTTGTTCCATGCTGAATTGGTGAGGGAAGACAGTAGAGTCCTAGAGTGACTTGGTGGTTATTTTTAAAGGGTAGTCTTTAAAATGCAGTGTTTAAAAAAAAAAGGCTGTTATTCAGGGGACCTCATCATTTCACGGTAGCACACATGGAGAACAAATGGTTCTTTTAGCCCCTCATCCTCCAGTGTAGATCTACAACGAAAACAGTCACTGTCACACGATGAGTTGGGGGTGTGCTCAGGGGTCTTTCTTTCTGCACAGATTGTATAGAGAACATTAAACAGCTCTGGGCAGCTGTTAATCGGGAATGGGTCGAGTCCCCAGCCTCTTCACCCTTGTCTCTCAGCCAGTGCATGCTTATTAGATGGAAAGTAATTTGACACTTTGCTCACCAGTGGTGGTTTGACATCTGGAACAGCATGTGCAGGTTTGGTTAGCACCTCTTTTTTTTTTTTTTTTTTAAAGATTTATTTATTTACGCATACAAGAGCTGGGGTACAGGTCAGAGATGCGGGGGGGTGAGAGGATTCACCAGAGACAGAGTGGGGAACAGAACAGGCAGACTGATTGAAATACACTGCTGAGGGGAGCAACAGGTGAGTCAGGAGAGGTCTGCTGTGCCATGTGGGTAGCAACCTGGCCGGGGATCGAACTCATGCAGCAGTGGCTGCGAACAGCTTCATAGGTTGCATCTTAACTCCTTGTACCACCAGGGAGGCCCAGATACCATGCATTTTGGCCCAGTTTTCAGATGGGGGTTTGGTTTGATTTGATTTTGCATTGGGAATTTGCACAGAATGGGCCTGATGAAGAGACAAATTGGCGTTAATGAGCTCTGTCAGACCTGTCATGCTGTTTGCTTCCTTTCTCCACTTGTAAATGTACAAAGTATCCAGTTTTCTTCTCAGGAAGTTCAGGAGAAAGCACAGTGCTGCTTGTAGGGCCCAGGAGGGAGGAGACCCAGTTCTGTCCCTCTGGACAGCGAGTGGCTGGGGCTCTGTACATCTGACTGGTCTGCCTTTCGGGTCCACGGTCAGTGGGCCCACATGAAGCCTCCCTTTGTTTTCCAGAGTCAGCCTGTGGGACATGCCCAATCACAGGTTTCACTTGGTCTTCGTGGCTGGGGTGTCCCCTTAGTTCTTCCTTGGAATATCCTTGGGGTTGTGTGATTTACAGCTTCTTACCTTATTTTTTTCCACTTTAATAGGACTAACAGTTGTAAAACTTGTGCATATCAAGTGAACTGTGAACTGTGTTTATAGCATCCCCCCCTTGTTGATAATTAGATTGTATTCTAAAGGGACCTAGAATTCTTTAGAAGTTTTAAAAGCTCACCATCAAAAGGCCTTCTAAGCAGTGTTTTAGACTGTGTAACAATTCTGTGTTCCAAATAAACTTTTGGTCCCTTTTCATGTCATTCCCTTTTTATAAGTCACCATTTTCCTAGTCTAGTTGAGGGGAACAGAATCCTTTTTTGGCCTTACTTCAGTGGGCCAGACTCTAACCGCTTTTAGATGAGTGAAAAGGGGAGCATTGCACTTGGTTGCTCTGGGCTCTCAGAAAACTACCCCCGCCCCCCTCCAGTTCTGCTCCCTTGGTTCAAAGTCTCCCAAATATCAGATGTTCTTTTTGCCCTAGACCCTCACAGTTGCACCTCACTGCTTAGTTTTGGATCTCAGATGGCAGAGAGAATTTGGGAGAAGAATGAATGTATAGAAAGAAACCCATTGAAAGTCCAGGATTTACTTTTGCAGCCCAGTGTCCTTGGTTGTTTACTGGCCGAGGTGGCCTGGAAGTAATTAGCTGCTTCCTGCACCTGCTCAGCAGGAGGTGCTGGGAAGCCACTAGGCGGCGGGGGACAGGCCCTCCCCACAGACCAGGACAGCCTGACCCCATGTGGGGCGTTGTAGGAGACTGTGCAGGGGCCTTGGGCGGCTTCTCACCTCCAGTGACACCCCAGCCTGCAAGTCTACAAAGTACCGTCTGCTTTCTCAGTGTTTTCTCTAACTGCTTCCTCAACCTGGAGATAACCTATGAGAACTCGTTTGTTAAAAAGTAGATAAAGACTATGAATCTCTAGAAAAGTTCACTCAATAATGTCACTTGATAGATACTTAACTATTGAATGCTCTTTTCAGAATGTGAGTCTAAAGATATCTCTCCTCCTCCCCTGCCCCTTTAGAGCCTGCAGAGGATCTGATCTAGCCTTGAGGGTCAAACCCAGCCTCTGGTCGCTCATAGAGCGCTCCAGCATCCCCAGGCCTTGACCCAGACGCCTCCTCAGATAGGGGTTTGGTTTGATTTGATTTTACATTGGGAATTTGCACAGAATGGGCCTGATGAAGGGCACACCCCCTCCCTGGCCTGTGCCCCCACCCACCTTACATACTTCCCCTGCCCCTGAAGGGCCCTCGCACCCCTACTCACTCCAGTGGCTCTGGGGCATGCTGGGGGGCAGGTGCCTGCTACTTACCTGTTTGCCTCCATCCATTTCATTCCCACTCCTGCCACAGAACGGGTGCCTTCCATGGGGTGAAGGAGTAAATCTAAATGTTCGTTGCATGCAGAATCTTGTAATCAGCCTCCATGGAAAGATTGGGCCTTGATTATTATAATACCATGAGAAAGATCACCAGTGCCTAGTCAGTGGAAAGCAGTTAGGAAAAAAATAATTTTTAAACAGGATCTGAAGTTAAATGTATTTTGGAAAACTAAATTCAGTACAAGATGGGGAAAATTAACCATCACCTAGACAAGAACCAAGTAGAAATTCTTGGTGCGTTCCAAGGGTCTTGGCCCTTGGCTTTGTAGGCTCAAAAAAAATTTTTTTAAATACATGGTGGTAAACTGGAAGTGGATTAATTTATATTAAGCTAATTAATAAAGGCTAATTTATGAAAAAAAATCAAAAGGCCAATTTCTAAACTAGGGACAAAAACTATAACCTCTCCCCAAGCGGACCTGTTGGGGAGCCAGATGCTTCCTGCCACGTGTCCCTAATGTTTGTTCCCTGTGCTCTCCAGTTTGTGATTTTTCAGCATCTTGGGGTATCGTCTTATTCCTTGGATATCTCCCCAGATGCTAATATTTCTTGTGGCAAGAGGGCATGCCTTTCCCCGTGTTCCTGTGCACAGTGCCTTGTGCGGGTTGGCATCCAGGGAACGTGAAGGAGGTGGTCCATCCAGACAGCACTGTCCTTGGCTATGGGTCAACGACCCTGCCACCGACCCTGTCCGTGGCTGGGAGGGTTGAGAGCTGCCAGTCACACATTGGACAATGTATTGGGCCGAGAGTCTGAAAGTCAGGAGAAATACAAATTAAGTGCTTGGTGTGTACAGAGCAGTAGACTGAGTGAGTCTCTTTTGAAGACTTGATTTTCAAGCATAACGCACATTGCATTCTTCCAAGCGTGAGCATGACTAAGCTTTGAATTGTAGAAACTAATTCCAAGGGCCAAAACTAAGTGATTGATTTGCCCAAGTTTATCAGATAAACAATTTGGTGGCGGGTGGGAACTGGAGCCCTGTCTTCTGACCTCCCCTCGCACTCCCACACCCTCCACAGACGTGGTGTCTGTCCAGGGTGGGCGTGTGGTGCCCGAGGATGGCTCGGTGGCAGCATCATGGGGATGCAGTGATTCAGCTTAACGACGCTCGCAGGACTTCTTTTTATTTTTTTTTTATATTTATTTATTTACTTATACAAGCACTGGGCACAGTCAGAAGTGCAGGAAGGTGAGAGAATTCACCAGAGCGGGAAATAGAACAGGCAGAGTGACGAAATACACTGCTGAGGGGAGCAGTGGGTGCAGCAGGAGAGGTCTGCGTGCCATGTGGGACCCTCGCCGGCGGCCAGGGATCGAACCAGCACTGCAGAGACTGCCAGCAGCTTCGCAGCCCAGCGCTCAACTGCTCCGCCACTGCGGAAGCCCTCGTAGGACTTCTTAAACAAGGGCCTGCATTGGTTGCAGCCCTTAATTGGCCCGTGCTGTTGAAAGCCAGGGCTGGCAGGGCCAGGATTTAGCCTGGCGCCTAGATGCCATCATCTGGGTCATGAATGGCCCGGGACATTGTTGCCAGTGATACAAAAGCAGCTTTGTTGTGACTCCTGCTAAATCCAGCCAGGTCAATGCCCTTGGCCTGGGCCATGACAGTATTCTCTACACCAGCCAGGAGGCAGGAAGCCAAATTAGTCAAGATAAATGTTTGTCATTCAGTAACCAAAGGGAAATTTAAAAAGAGCTCTAAAAAAAACCAACCACCTTAGATTCCCAGCGATTGTTCTAAAGTTTGGCCGTGAATTGGTCCTCAGGGGTCATGGGTAGCTGGAGCAATAGATGATCTCAGTTGCCAAGCACAGAGTGTTCTTCAGATGGGCGCTCCAAGGGACAGGGTGACTTAGCTTGGGTCCGTTTCTGAGCAGAGCCTCTTCCCTCCCCCAGCAGGCAGAGGGCAAGGCTCATGGCTGTGCTCTTCTTCCAGGAGAAGTGGTGAACACCCACGGTCCCGTGGAGCCTGACAAAGACAACATCCGCCAGGAGCCCTACACCCTGCCCCAGGACTTCACCTGGGATGCCTTGGACCTGGGGGACCGTGGTGTGGTGAGTAGATATGGGCAGCTTGCTTCGTGAACTCCGCAGTCTTCAGGACACCTGCTACTCAGGCCTTCCTTGAGGACTCTCTTGAGAGCTGAGCCAGGCAGGTCTGAGCAGACCCCGCCCTAGGCCCAGCTCAGGCTCCACCTCAGTAGTACTGGCAGGCTAGCTGGCAGCTTGACAGTCAACCTCTGTAGCCTTCCCAGGTGGTACCCCTTTTTTCATGCTTTTTTTTTTTTTAATTCCACTTTTTTAAAAAAGATTTATTTATGAATACAAGAACTGGGGTGTAGGCCAGAGGTACAGTAGGTGGGGGAAGGATTCACCAGGGACATAGCAGGCGGATCTACTGAAAAACACTGCTGAGGGGAGCAGCGGGTGAGACAGGAGAGGTCTGCTGCGCCATGTGGGTCAGCTCTCTGGCCAGGGATCGAACTCAGGCCACTGGTGACGGCTTGATAGCGCTGAGACTTTAACCCCTGCACCACCAGGGAGGCCCCATGCTTCATTCTTGTTCATCCATTCGTTCATTCCCATGTCCAAGCTGCAGTGGCAGGTTAGCGGATGGCAATCTTGGCCTGCCACTTTATGTACTTAGATCTGTCTCTCTGCCCTGTGGTGGCTCGTTCTCCAATTACAACTAGGGTGCTTGTTTCAAAATACTCCCTGCCGTGCTTGCAACGAAACGGTTTGTGAGATTAAATGTAGTTTTTGGTAGTTTGCCTTGTTCTTCTGAAAAGCTTGGAGTGGCCCCCTGGATTTTGGAGTTGGTCCCCCATCTGGTAGAATACCTCTAAGCCAACCCCTTATTTCTCCACAGCTGAAAGAACTGTACACCCTCCTGAATGAGAATTATGTGGAAGATGATGACAACATGTTCCGATTTGATTATTCCCCAGAATTTCTGTTATGGTGAGTTGTGAAGGCTTTCTCATGGTTAACGGGACAAGGCACTGAGCAGGACTATCACCAGGCATCCCTGCTACTAGCCAACCTTTGAACGAGTAAATTATTGTATAACTTTTGAGTTCCTGCAGCTGAAGGGGACTTGCTTCCTTGGAGCTTAGAATTGAAACTTTGCTTAAGACAGAATGACTGTGAGGGAGACCTGTGTGGAACTGGTACCTGGAAGACAAGACCACCTGTTGTATGGTGCCCTTATATAAGAAGAGAGGGAGGGACAGGACCTCCTGTGAGAGTGCCAGCAGGGAGCTGGAGACCAGAGCTCCAGGGGCTCCTTGGTCAACTCCCAACCATGGGACCCACTGGACTTGCAGCCAGAGAGGCCAGTCCTCTGCTTCAGCCATCAGAATGCATGAGCGCAAAGAAATTGGATCAGATGGGAAGTCCTCAGTATGGTAGCCTTGGATTGAGGGAGTAAGTAGGCCAAGGGGGCTAAGGGCCAGAAAGGTCTGTGGTCCCATGCCCAGGAGGACTTGACAGTCAACCTCTGTTGAAGTCTAGCTGTTAACCCCAGGGAGGTATCTCACGAGTTTAGAACCTGATGGGACTGTGCAGCCCAAAGAGACCCAAAGGCCCACTGGCAAGCAGCACCAGCCGCAGCCCCTGTCTCTCTTGCAGGGCTCTCCGGCCACCTGGCTGGCTCCCCCAGTGGCACTGTGGGGTTCGAGTGGTCTCAAGTCGGAAACTGGTCGGGTTCATCAGTGCCATCCCAGCAAACATCCACATCTATGACACGTAAGCCCCAGGGCCACCCCCGCAACTTCCCATTGTGCTTGGTCTGGGAGGGAGGGGAGAAAAAGCAGTAATACACTTACCTTCTACAAAAGAAAGAGGGCAGGTCCTGGGAATAGAAGTTCATAATAGGAACTGTCTGTTTTGCTCTGAATTGTGGCTGGGTCCCTTGTCTGTGAGCAGGCTGGAAGGGCCGCCCACCCCTCGGGCATGCTCTGGCTGCACTGGAGCTCTGTGCTTGCACTTGCACCTGCCACATGGTGGTACACTCAAGCAGCTTGGGAAACAGGAGCCACTGGGCTTCCCATCCTCGTAGTCACTGGGCCTTGAGCTCTGCTTTCACTTGCCCTGGGGATCAACCACCTGCCTGTCTTCTGGGCTTTTAGGCCGGGAATGCCTATGGGAGTCTTTGAAAAAATACTTTACTTACTCTGTGTTCCTGCCTGCTAAAAGGCAGACTCCTCTGCCCTGCTATTAAGGATTCAGCAGGGACATGCTGGTGGTGTCTTCAAAGAAAAGGGTTTGCTCAAGTCCCCCATACCGGGGCAGAAGGCAGGCCTGTGTGGAAGGCCAGGCCTTGCAGGGGTGGGTCCATGTGTGTAAGAGAGTTTCCTGCCCTGATAAAGGCCTTGTCACTGGGCTTTTTCTTCCCTTTCCAGAGAGAAAAAGATGGTGGAGATCAACTTCCTCTGTGTCCACAAGAAACTGCGCTCCAAGAGGGTAGCTCCAGTCCTGATCCGAGAGATAACCCGGCGGGTTCACCTGGAGGGCATTTTCCAAGCTGTTTACACTGCCGGGGTGGTGTTACCAAAGCCTGTTGGCACCTGCAGGTAAACATCTCTTCTCCTGAGGTCTTAGAGTGGCGTGGCCACCATAGTTCAGCTCTCAGGCCACCCTGAGAGCTGCGCCTTGGCCCCTTGGCTTGGTGTGTCCCAGGGCATCTGGCTTCTCCAGGGCCTGATAAGATGGTGGTAGGTGCCCACTGGAGCCAGGAAGGCAGCATGGAGGGAGCGCTATAGGAAGAGCAGGCGGCAAGTGCATGCCCTGTCTGAAGGGGTTAGCTCCCCTGACTCCTGCCATTTGGAAAGGTGGGGTCAGTCAGCTGGGGTTTTTAGTTGTAAAGGGTGAGCCCAAGTCCGGATTTTTATGGTCAAGTTCCTAAAGTTTTAAATGGTTGGCTCAGTTTGCTTTGAGTATTGTGGGGGCCAGAGGGAGCATATCTGACTCCTGTGTCACCCAGGGACCCCTGCTGCCTGATAAAGTAGTTTGAAACAAGTGAACAGTCTGTCTCGAGCACGAGCACGGAAGCTCCAGGAGACGCAGAAGAGGGAGGAGGGTAAACACTCAGAGAACTATGGATCTTTTCCATTAACTTGATTCCAGGAGGGAGGGTTGCTTTTCCCGGAATTTCTGTAACAAAGGAATGGCTTTTGAAATTGAGAAGGAAAGATAGAGAGAACAAAAATAGGAAGGGCTGTGGCAGCTAGCATTCAGTGGGGGAGGTTAGAGACCAGGGAGGCCTGATGTGTGTCTCGCGCCACCTGCTGGCTGTCTGGAGACCTCCATACCATTGTCTGGACTTGGCAGAATGCTCTGAGGACAGGACATTTGTGTCCCCACAGGTACTGGCATCGGTCCCTAAACCCACGGAAGCTGATTGAAGTGAAGTTTTCCCACCTGAGCAGAAATATGACCATGCAGCGTACCATGAAGCTCTACCGACTGCCAGAGGCCAGTGCTCCAGGGTGATGGGCAGGGGAGAGAGAGGCCAGGAGAGCCTGGCCCTGAGCAGGAAAGAGCAAGGCTTCCGGTGCAGGACAGGACGGGGAGCTGGGTCAGAAGAGTAACCCAACACAATTTCCAGATTCCGAGACTTTCCATTTCTGTTCTGTTATCTATAGCAAGGGTTGTCTGTATTTTAGTTCGGCTTTCTCAGTTCTTCTGAGCCTGCTCCTGGGCTAGCTTCCCTGCCATCTGTTCCTGAGCTGAGAGCACCTATTCTCCAAGTTTAGCATGAGCAAAGCTAGGAGGATGCACGCACTCACTGAAGTCCTAAACTCCCCAGAACAAGGAGCCAGAGAGTGTCTGTTGCCCCTCTGGCCAAGGCTGAGCTTGCAAGGGAAGCCCAGATTTCTAATCCCAACCCCCCATCCAGATTCTGCCACTGAAGGGCTAAGCAGCCTGGAGTGAACTGGTTTTCTGGTTTTGGTCTTGATTTGCCTAGTTTCCCCAAGAAACAACTGCTCTTTGTGTCCCAGTTGTGTCTGGCTTTGGATCCTGGTGGGTCTTAAAATAGCTTTTCTTCCCTCAGGGCTCGTCCAGCCAGTGCTTGCACAGCTCCTGCGGCCAACGCGCTACCTGCCGAGATTCATCAGCCACCAAACTGGATTAATCACCCTGGGAGTGGGCTAACCCACCTTGGGGTTGGGACCATTGGTGTCCCATTTTGATAGCCACTTCCCCAAAAAGACTAGGCATGGGGGCCATGATGGGTGTCTTCTTTCTCTTATTTGCCAGATGTGCCCTGTGTCTCGGCAGGCAGAGAGTGTTCTTAAATTGGTCAGTGCCAGAAAGGGTATTGCTGGTTCTCCCCCCACGCCATGGTTGAGAATCCCAGCATGGCTTCTTTTTCAGAACAGGGATTGAGGTGTCATTGTGGGCGCTGGCTTGTAAAAGTAAGGTCCCTAAGTGTTCCCTGGAGACAGCAGGCATAACAAGGAATTTTGGCAGCAAAGGGCCTGGAAGGGCACTTTTAAAAGCAGTTCCTCTACTGGGAAGCAGCTGCATCAGCCATGACTGAGGTATATAAACTCTAATTCCACTGTTTTCAGATTTGACTGGCCCCACCTTTGTGTATTTAAGCCTTTGGAGGTTTTATCAGCCCCCGAATTTGCTTCAGGGCATCACTTAGCTTTATTCCAGTGAAGCAGTTTCTAAGAAAATGGGGTGGGATTCTGGTTTGAGGTTAAATCCCAGGAGCTTGGTGCTTTTCTTCTGATTTAACTTGCAGCAATGTGCTACTAGGGCACTGCTGAGGACAGGCAGGGTGCATTTCCTCTGTAGACACTGCTGGGCCTGGGAGTTCCATGTGCCTGCACCTAGGAGCCTGTCTGGAGGGTAGATACCAGCACAGGAAGAGATGTGTTCCAGCTCAGTGGGAGGAGGTGTGGGGACTTTGAGGAGGGGATCCAGGAGAGGCTTCGTGGAGTAATGCTGGGCTGGGCCTACTTCAGCACTTCTATGTGGCCTTCAGGGTGCTCTCGGTCGCTGACATTTTGGGCTTTAGGGACCTTTATTGAGGGACTGACTTAAGTACTGTAGGGTATTGAGTAGCATCCCAGGCTTCTACCAGGGTGCCACTAGCTTCCTCTCCTGAGTTGCGACAACCAAAAATATCTCTGAGTATTGTCAAATGGCCCACACTGAAGAATACTGGGTGGGAGGGACAGAAGACACAGCCAGAGCAGCCAGCTGGTCCAGAGGGTAGTGTGTCCTGAGCTACGTATTAGGGAATTTGGAAAAGAGAGGGCCTGATGGGTAGTATTTTGTGGGGCGTGTGGGTAAGAGGTTGAAGCCATGTCCTTAACCAGGGGCAAGAATAACAGCTTTAATGAGGAGGGGAAAGGCCAACAGATGCCAGGGAGGTAGGACATGTGCCCAACTGGATATGGACAGTGGGTGAGAGGCAGTAGCCCAGGATTCTCTCCTGAGGGTCTGGGTGGATAGACCCTGCGTTGGGGAGGAAGGGAGACAACATGACATTTGTGGTGTTTTAAGGGCTTGTGAGGGACCAGGATGCTCATAGTCAGCATGTCTGATGCTGAGTCTTCGGTCTTCCTTGTAGACTCCCAAGACAGCTGGACTGCGACCAATGGAAAAAAAGGACATTCCAGTAGTGCACCAGCTCCTCACTAGGTACCTGAAGCAGTTCCACCTCACCCCGGTCATGAGCCAGGAGGAGGTGGAGCACTGGTTCTACCCCCAGGAGAACATCATCGACACATTTGTGGTGGAGGTGAGTGGGGAGCAGTGTTCTGGGGTTCTGACCCATTCGCAGAGAGGTGTCCCCTTCAGTTCCTGGGGTGCCCAGGCTTGGTGACTGAGGAGCCATTTGACGGGAATGTTACCATCCTAGTCTTCCTTGACCATTCGTGCTTGGTCCTCCCTAAGACAGATGGGTGTGGCTTGCTCGCCCCACACCTGGTGACCCAGTGGCGAGAGAACTGACCCCTCTTAGTCAGGTAAGCCTCGATTCCCTGCCTGTCTCAGCTCAAGCTAGTGCCAGACACACCTGGGGACACAGCCTGGGGAATGTGAAACATCAGAAGAGGTCACTGGTGACATGCAGGCAGGCGCCACAGGTTCCACCCACGGTCCAGCATGGATCTGCCTCCTGCTCTGTCTTCAGGTGCCTTTGGCCAGTACATTTTTCCCTCCTTGCATATCCCGTTTCAGTTTCCACCCATCCCTTGGGAGGGCAGTGCTGCTTGAGGGGGTGTGTGAGAGCGTGGCTGAAGTTGCCATTACTGTCTTCCTTCAGAATGCCAGCGGAGAGGTGACAGACTTCCTGAGCTTTTATACACTTCCCTCCACCATCATGAACCATCCAACCCACAAGAGTCTAAAAGCTGCTTATTCTTTCTACAACGTTCACACCCAGACCCCTCTCTTAGACCTCATGAGCGACGCCCTTGTGCTTGCCAAAACGGTGAGGAGCCGCCAGGAGGTCTGGAGCTCTGGGGAAGGGGCAGTGGTGAGCTGCCCACGCCGGGGGTGGGCCTTCCTTACCTGCCTGCTCTGCTTAGGGAGGGCTCGGTAGTTGTATGCCAGTAGCTCAAAACTAGGAGGGAGTGGGAACATCCACATGAGATGAAGGCCTTGAACTCCTCCTGATTTATTTCAGTGAGTTTCATTCTCACAGGAGGCACTGCCAAGGAGCCTGAATAGCCAGGCCTGCTCGAGGAGTAAAGGGGTTCTCCTCATGACTTCCCTAGCATGGGAATGGGGAGATTAGTCTCTGTCGTGGTGAGTCATTGGAGTGGCTGACAGCAGAGCACAGGGGTTGGGGCCTAGGGTTGTCAAAACATCAGCCCTTAATCGGGGGTTCTGCCTGCACCAGGCCCAGCCACTGTGAGCCTGCCGAGCTATGGGCAGTCTGGCTCGCTGCCCTATGAGGACTTCTGGCCTATTTGGGGAGAATTAGGAGGTGGCTTCGGGATGTCCAGGGACTGAAGGAGCAGGGCAAATGGTCAGTCACTGATAGGAGCCAGTTTCTCAGAGCAAGGGGTTCGGGGCTTGGTCACCAGAGAGGGCCATGGAAGTTCCTGGAGTTTGAGGGAGGTGTAACAGAATAATGGGAGCAGCAGCTTGGACTCTGAGTACATGGTGTGTGCCTAGTGGGACACTGAGGAGAGGCCAGGTGGGGCAACGCTGAGTGTTGTGAGAGCCCCACTGGAGAGCGGGGTACTGGCTGGAGTTTGGATTCAACAAGGACACAGCCACAGCTTCTGTCAGCCACCTAGGGGTGGGGATGTGATGGAACAGGTCGGACAGGTGAGGCGGCTTTCACCTATGTTCACCTGTTCCCATTCCCCCCTGTGCCGTGCAGAAAGGGTTCGACGTGTTCAATGCACTGGATCTCATGGAGAACAAAACCTTCCTGGAGAAGCTTAAATTTGGCATAGGGGACGGCAACCTGCAGTATTATCTCTACAATTGGAAGTGCCCCAGCATGGGGGCAGAGAAGGTACGTCTGTGCTATGTGCAGCCTCCTGCCAAGGCCCCAGCTGGAGGGTGGCCGGCCCTGGTCAGGGAGTTGGTGTCTCCAGCAGAAACTGGGCCATGGGTCTGGGATCCAGCATCAGTTTGGGTCCCTGAAAGGTCTCCTCCCTCTGAAGCCAGGCTTGCAGCTGGTGTGAGGGTGGTGGAGGGCCGGGCCCTTAGCCCTTCCTCTCCCAGCTCCACAGGGCAGCCTACGGCTGTGGGTTTCATCAGCATTTACAGAATAACAGATGGATGACCTGTGTTCCTCTTGCTCTCTGAGAAGGATCATGGCTGTGTAAGGCCTGGCGTGGTGGTTGAGTGAGGCTGCCCCACTGCACAGCGGCGCTCTGGGGCTCCGTCACTGGGAGCATGAGGACTGGGTGGGAAGCGGGTCTTGGGACAGCTGTCAACTCAACCCCACCTCTTCCCGCTGGCTCTCCTAGGTTGGGCTGGTGTTACAGTAACCAGTCGCCAGTGAAATTCTGGATAAAGCCACTGAGAATTCAAACCAGGAAACGGAACCCCACCACTTGTTGGTCCAATTTTCACAAACGTGAGAATCCTTGGCAAAGGGAGCAGAATTGAACCGGCTTTACCAAACCGCCAATGAACTTGACGATTGCATTGCAATGGCGTAGGCTGCGTGACGTCACCTCTGGCCGTGTCTCTGGTCTCCCTGTTTTCCAATTAATTACATCCTTTTGCAGCCGTGATCAAGGGAATGTAACTGCTGAAAACTAGCTCGTGATTGGTATACTATGGAGTTAACGGGTGAATAATAAAAGTATATATATTATATATATATATAAATATTTTAAATATCTTTCATGTTCCAAATGTGCAAGGATGTCTGGTCTCTGATGAAAAACTGAATCCAGATCATTCCTCAGAATTAGAATCCAAGGACAGTGCAGACAAACACATTGGTACAGTGGATTGTTTGCTTCTGAAGCAGGCTTGACTATTCTTGGGAGAGCAGGAAGAAGAAGTCTCCTGCAGTGGGGAGTCTTCTCCAGTTCCTCTTCTGAATCGACTAGAGTGATTGGCTTCGAGAAGGCAGGGTGAGGTGGAGGGCTGACCCAAGGCAGAGGCTTTCCCCGAAGGGGCCAGGCCTTTTCCGCATCCTGGAACGGGGCGGCAGAGATGATGCTTGGAAGCAGATTTCGTTCATTGAGCCCCTCCTTCCGCCCTCCTGGCCTGCTTCCTCTAGGAAGTCACCCTGCCACCTGGCTTGAAAGGGCTCTTTAGCCAGCTGTTGTCAACCTTATAAGGACAAGTTCCCTGTGCAATTGTGTTTCTCTGCTGCCTGGGATGACTGGCAGTGTGAAGGGGACCCGGGACCTCCTTGTAGCATCTGGGACCTGTGGAGACCCCATCAGTGCAAGCCCTGCTTGGCTCATATTAGAGCAAAGAGCCAGTGTCCTGCCACCCCCAGGGTGGCTGGGCAAGTGTGGCGTGGGGTTGATAACTAGACCTCTTCAGCCAGCAGCCCCTGGCCTGTGCCTTCCAACCTGTTAGCCGTCCTTTTGCGCTCCTGTCAAAGACAGAGCCCACGAGGACTGGTGGCTAGATCCGATCTCGACTTGGCAACTGAGATGATTTCAGGTCGCCATTGTCTGAGTCTGATTTTCGCTGATGATGTTTTGTGGACTTCTGTGATGGTGGTGTGATTACGGATGCCGCCGGCTTTCCCCCCAAAGGAATGGCGCCTCTGGGCACGCGGCTGGCCTTGCAGGCTGTCCTCACTTGTGCTCAGCCTAGTGGCCTGGGCAGGACTGCACTGTGGAATTGTTGGCACCCCTCACCCCACAGGCTTGTGTGTAGCTTTTGCTCTGGGAGAAAATAAATGGGTGACTAGCATGTGTGCGGTGGGGGTTCCTGGCTGCTTTCACCTCTCGGCTACTTGCAGGAGGAGGAGAGCCTTAGGCTCAGCCTAGTCCCGCTGACTGAAGCCACGGTCTGCAGGCCAATAGGGCTGCATTTCAGGTGGTAGGTCTGGGTGAGCCTTGCCAGAGGCTAATTTTTCTGAATCCCCAAAGTTGGATGGAGGAAGTGCTTGGGATGGGGGCCACGCCACTGGCGGCATGTGCCACCCTCTGCAGACTGCTTCTGGCGCCAGCAGTGCCACTGTGCTGGATTTTCATCAGAAGCTTCTGGGCGCCTCCCTTCTCCTTGCTGTTCCTGTGCTCAAACTGCAGGCCCTAGCGTCATGGCTGACCTTTGACTCCTTGACTCCAAGATACCCAGACCAAAGAAGCTGCTGTTCTCAGCAAGATGCGCACTGCATTCCGCAGCCAGAGGAGTCGGGAAAGGGGCTTTTACCCTTACAGCCTCACAGCCATCAGACTCACAGCCCCCAAGTCTCTGGGCAGCTTTTGCGGATATCGGAGAACAAAGCGTCCAGTTCCTTCCTAACTTGCATGGGGCCTGGAGTGTGGAAAGGCCTATGACCAGGAGGTCATAGGCTTGGTTGGCTCTGGACCAGGTCCCTGAGCTGCCTCTGAGATTTTGGGTGCACACAGGCCCTGTAGTATGCTTTGCTTGGATTGCCCAGGTCATGGAATGGAAACTGTGAGGCCCCAGTGACTGCTCTAGAAGAAAAAGATTTCCTGGAGAGATCCCAGTGACTCCTTCCATAACCACATGGCCCGCCGCTTAGACTCTGCTGGCGTCTCCTGCCCAGGTTTGCAGGATTCAGCTGGGTGGCTGCCGTCAATCTCCTTTCTGTCCTCTGGTTCTTCCAAGGCTTCAGGTCAGAGAGAACCATGGCTTGGGGTTGAGGGCCTCCCCACAAGGAGGCTTGCAGAATGCAGGAGCCAGGGTTGGCTTGAACCAAACGAGGGAAGAACCAGGGGCCTCCAAGCTCATCCCCTGGGGCCTGCCTCAGATGGCAGCGGTGTCGCCAGCATTCCTCTCTGGCCCTGGGCTCTGGACTCCGTATTTCCAAGATACTCTGCCTTTGTATTGACTCTGTTTGTCCCCTGACTCCATGGCATGCCCCTGTCGCCTCTGGTCTCTGTGTAGGGAGAGAGCTGGCTAGAAAGGAGGTCTCAGCTCTAGATTGAGATCTACACAGGGGCTGTTTTCCCTCTCATGCCTGCTTCCAAAGAGGCTGATGTCTGGCTTGAAGGCCGGCCCACACCAAGCCACTTAACACCTCGGTATATGAAAAACTTAAGGCCTTGTCTACAGCTCCCCTCTAGCTCCCGCCCTCCTCACTTGCTGGCCAGTGAGGCCCAGAGATGGGTGTCCCTGTGGTCTTGAATTCTTTGCCCAAAGATGACCAGCATTTAACCAACCTAAGGGATGGCCTCAGAGACCTGTAGCATCACGGAGCTGCAGTCTGGGAAGGGGGAGGGCTGACCAGAGGGGTGGGGCCTGGCCCACCTGCTGCTAAGGGAGGGCAGGCCTGCAGACCCGTCCCTGGGGAGGCTGTGTAAGGGCAGTTACACTCAGTGGATGCAGGTGCCGCACCTGGGACTAGGGAAGGAGGAAGCTTCACCTTTTTTTCTTGGCTTTTCTCTGAACTGTGGGAGGGGCATCCATTTCCAGGGTGGGGGAGGAAATACCAAATGTGATGTTGTTCCCCTGGAGACTGCTCACTTGTTTCTAATAAAGCAGCTGAACAAAACCCTCCCGCCCTCCTGGTATTCCTCGGGGCAGCCGGTGGACAGTGGGTTAGAGCGCCCTCTCCCCGAGGCCCGCGGGGGCCCTGCAGGAAGGCCCTCAAGGCCGCGGTGTGGGGCGCCTTCTGCAGCCTTCTCTTTGGCGCGGCTTCCCTTTAAGGCAAACTTGGCTCTTCTCCCAGCCTCTGCCACCTGCCAGCACGGAGCTGGTACTGACCCAGTTCACCGTGTAGGAGGAGCAGCCGGGCTCTGGAACAGCACTGGGACACCTTGGCTGAGCTGCCCCCGCTGTCCGGATCAGCGGACACCTCTGTGTCCAGAGGCCACACCTCTCCTCTTAGGCCGGAGTCGGGGTTCTGTGGAGCATCTCAGGCCCACTGCTCTTCCTGAACCCCTTCTGGTGTCTCACTACCTCCAGGATGCTGGCCCCTGAGCACTCGGGCCTTCATCCCTGCCCTTAGTTTGGGGCTGGGAGAACCCAACCCTGTGGGTGGTCTCCACCCAGGGGCCACCTTCCCAACTTGGGGTTCTTATCCTAGCAGTAACCCTTCATTACACCAAACCAAAGAAAAGAGAATGGAGGGGAGAGAGCTAAGCCCTGGGGCCAGTGCTCACCTGAATACCCCACGCCCTGGCCCAGGCCAACAGTGCTGGTGCAGGGGGACTGGACCCCGCCTTGGCCTGCCTCCCACCCCAGGGCGGCCAGCCCAGGCCTTCATGGCTGCTGCACAGGGAGGCTCCTGGACCCTTCAGCAACTGCTTGTGCTCTCGGGCACACGATTCTATGGCGTGACCTGAGCAGGGTGAGGTTGTCACTTCCTGCATCAGCTCACGGATGCAGGAAAGTGGAGGCAGCCCAACTCAGGGTTCTGTGGCCTTTTCCCAGGCCACCTCCCCCCAGGAACTGCATCATGGGGCCTTTGTTTAGCAGTGGAACCCAGAGTGCCAGGGCTCCACATTTAACCCCAGAAAGCCGCCTTTCTGCCTGGTCTCTGGATGCTCTGCAGGGTGCCCTCTCCCAGCCTCTCAAGAGGTAGCCAGGAGCAGCCACAGCTTTCGGGGCCTGTCTAAAAGGTGGAAGGAGAACCTCGAGTCCCAGGGATTTATCAAACCCAGTTGAGCCTGGAAAGTGGTCTGAGTGAGGTCCCTCAGTCCTGTGCTCACCCCCTTGAAGGCCCCACAGTTCTGCCCGCTGCCCATTCCAGGCCGCCCTCACTCTTCTGTTGGGGGGTGGTATGTGAATAGGTGTCCTCAGCCATGTGATGCAGCAGCAGCAGCTTTGAGCCAGAGGAGGGGGTCAGGGCTATTTCATGCTGCGATGCCTTCAACACCCCTGGCAGTCTTTGACAGATGCCAGCCCTGCTGGGGGAAGAGGCCCAAAGGGCTCTCCTGCCTCTGTCTCTCCTAGGGGTGTGGCCTCAGAGTACTAAGGGGGTGTCAGTGATAAAATAAATTTGCTTCTTTATTTTTTTTTTTAAATAGTCTTGCTCCGCTGTCCTCTCCAGGGCTTTTATGACACAAGTTAAAAACCTACTCCCAGGTTTCCTTAGGGCCTCAGCCTCGGCTCTCCCTTCCTTGCTTTGAGTAAGGGAGTTCAAGTTCAAGAGCTGGAGTCCAGGAGAGGGAGGTGCTCTCATGGGGGTTAATGCCTGGGGTGGACGCAAGGGTGGGGGCTGGGCTCTTGGGGGAAGGAGGCTGGGGTGGCGCCACTTTGGGGTAGAGACAGGTTGAGGGCTCTGGTGTGCTGCCCACATCCACCCCCTCACCCCTACCCTCTGGTCTCCTGGTCCAGCAGGCTGGGCTTTCCAGAAACCATGAGGGGTGGGCTGAGGACCCAGGCGCCGGACGTTTCAAGGCTCCGCAGTTGCAGGGAAAAGGTCAACCACCTGTTCTTCACGGGGGGCCAAGGCAGCCTTTGGCATCCAGTTGAGAGGAGAGCCTGACTGGCAAGCAGGCAAGGTGGGCAGGCTGGCAGAGCGGCTCTCCCTCCGCCCCTCCACTGCAAGGGAGAGCGCCTGACCCCGCAGGCCCCGGGGCAGATCAGCCGGGGTCAGGAGTTCTGGATGCTGATGTGGATGAAGAGCGAGGCCGGTGACAATGAGGCCCCGTCCTTGGAAAGCAGGTGGATGTGGCGGTACCCTGAGGGGAGGGCCGTTGGGCGTTAGGCCTCTGCCCACCGCCCAGGTCTGTTGTCCGTCCCGCGCCACCACCCCTCCACCCACTAACCTTGCTTCAGGCTGTAGAGAGGCAGCGTGAACTGGCCCACGAAGTCATTGGGGGACATGGTGTCGTAATCCTCCACCACAAACCGCACCAGCACCAGCTCCGGAGCCCGCAGCTGGAACTGCAGGGTCTTTTTCCAGCTGGGGTTGAAGCCTAGGGCACAGCAGGGTGGTCAGAGACGGCCCGGACCTCCCCCCTGCCACCCTGTCCTCTGCGCGCCCCATGTGCCCCCACAGGGCCCCACCGTTGTTGAGCACGTAAGGGGTCTCCCTCCGATCACAGTCTTCGGGCACCCCATGGATCTCAACGCGCACCAGGGGGTCCACGATGGAGCTTGGCTTCTCAGCGTTCAGCTTGGGCAGCTGCTGTGCCGTCAGCACCTGGGGAGACAGAGGAGTTTCAGGGCAGCCCCCTGCTGGGGCCCACACCCGCCTGCCTGCTGCTCGCCTCCAAGCGCGGCCCAAGACCTCCCTGCAGTCTCGGACCCCCCACTCCAGAGCTAGCGCTGACCCCAGAGAGGGGCTGGCCAGGCCGCTGACCTGGATGGTGAGAGTTGTTCTGGGGGGGCCGGGGTACTCGGGGTCAAACGTTGTGTTGGGCTGCCGCAAGCAGGCAGGTTTCAGGATGTAGCCGCACTGCCCATTGACGAGGAAGCGCCCGGTATTGAGGTCCATCTCGTAGCCTGGCGTCTGGAAGTTCAGGGCCACTGTGGACAGGGTCAGGGCAGGGGACCTTAGTGGTCCTCCCCTCGTGGCTCCATTTCAGGGGTGTCACTGCCCTTCCCCCAGACAGACCAGTGGGGGAGGACTCAGTTCTCTACAGAGTGTGGGCTCCCACTGTCATGGTACCATCTCCCTGGTATTTTGCGAGGTGCCAGGGTAGGCATGCGGGGAGGCCCAGCCTCAGGTCAGACCTAGGGGTTTCCATCCCTATCCCTAAAGGGGCCTTATCCCTCCCTGGGTGGTGCTCAGCGCCCTCCAGAGCCTACCCTTGTCACAGACTTAGTGGGACCGCTGGGGGGCGGGGGATGTTGGGGGCACATGGGAAAAGACGTTTTTAATTTCGCCCTTCATAAAAAAAATGATGCGTTGCCCCACCTCCCTTGCTGACAATTTTTTTTATTCTTGCCAACAAGATGTCTCCACCTTCTGGAAAGCTGTGGGGCCCCATCACTGCTGGGGCCTCTCAAGATTCCCAGAGGCCACCTCCACCCAGCAGCACCCTGTCTTCTCCCTGCTCTCTCTGCCCACTCACCCAGCTGGCAGCCCGAGTTCCACATCCCCTGGGGGTTGTAGTTGGCCGAGTTCACCCGAAGCCCGCGCGGGTAGACACGGGTCAGTTGGCAGGTGTTGTGCCTGACGAAGCTGTTCCCTGGGGGAGGGAAGGGCTGTAATGGGCCCCTGGGGTGTCCCTCATCCAGTGCCAGCGCCACGGGGAATAGAGGATGAACTCCCACCCCCAGCTCCCCTTGCCCCACTGGGTCTCGCTGACCCCTGGCATCTCACAGAGGAGACTGCTGACACCCAGAACTCCAGAGAGGGGTAGGGAACCCCTCCCATGGCCTGCCACTGCACCCCTACCCCAAACACCCACATTCCTGGCTCAGTGCATCAGACACCTGGCTGCAGACTGACATCCCTTCTCTACACTCAGCCCACGCTCACTCTTCCAGCCACGTTGGGGTTCCTGGAACCCTCCCTGCATATCATGCTCCAGGCCTCGAAAGACCTGCTCCTCCCGTCTGGAAATCCCTCCCCCTGCACCTGTTGCTTCCTCCTCATCCTTCAGGCCAGGTGTCCTCAGGTGTCACCTGCTCAGGAATCCTTCCCTGACTGATCTCACCCCCTTCTGCTGGACCTCCCCAGCCCCATCGCGGCCTGGCTGATCTCCCCACACCATAATTCTCTCCATGTCTGCACCCCCACTGGCTATGAACCGCTGTGGAGGGCCCAGCCTCCCACCTCCCCAACCTCTTCCTTCCATCCATATCAGCGGGTGCTGAACAGGTGCTGGGCACTCAGTCCCTGAGCCCTGTCTCTCCGCAACTCTGACTTCTTGACTGCCCGCACCCCTCTCAATCTCTATCCCACACCAACCTCAGGGCACCCTCCCCACTAGGGGCCTGCAGGCCCCCACTGCCCTCCTGCCTCCAGATGCCCATGTCCCTGCTCCTACCTGCCTCTCGGATGAACTTCTTGGCCTTGCGCTCGCCAAGGGAGCTGACCAGGCAGGGCTGTGCCAGGGCGGGGGTGGGGCGCAGGGCCCGCAGGTGGGTGGCACGGCAGTACACAACCAGGTCGGACAGCTCCGGGGAGACCTGCTTGGCCTGGGAGACAAGCCTCAGGGGGTCTGCCGGCTCCAGCACGCTGACAAGCCTCAGGGGGTCTGCGGGCTCCAGCATGCTGCCTCTCCAACCTTCCTGTCACCACCCGCCCCGGCCCAGCCCGGGCTGTGGCCCTACCCAGCCCACTCACCAGCTGCTTCTGATCTGTCAGCTCTGCCTCCGATCCTTCCTCCTCTTCCTCCTCCCAGCCTGACAGAATGTGCGTGCCTTCCCTCCTGGCGGCAGGCAGCTTCTTCCCCTTCACCAGGACCCTGCCCTTCAGCTGCTGCAGAGGCCAACAGGGAAGGATTAAGCCCCCTCGGCCCTTCGTCAGCTGGTTCTCATTCAATCAACACTGTGTGTATGTGGCGGGGGGGGGGGGGGCGAGGGGATAGGAACACAAAAATGAATGACTTTTCTGAAGTAAATAAACGATGCCTGCGGCCACCGCACATCAGAACATTGCACGGCAGCCGTGAACAGGAACCAGGCAGCTCAGGAACCCATTTCAAGAGATCTCACACCAAAGAAGTGGGTGCAGGACATGAAATCATGTGACTTTCATGTGCAACATTTGCCAGAGAGGCAGCGGTGCACACAGGGCTGTGCACAGGAGAAATCTGATGGACACACGAGAAACGGTTCAAGATGGCGACTTCTTGTCCAACAGGACGGGGGAGTGAGCCTGAGGGAGGAACACCCGTTCTCACTGTATACCCGCCTGTGCAGCTCGATTTTTTTTTTTACTATGTGTATGTTACCTTCATGCTAATAAAAAGAAATCAAATCACACACATATACACAAACGTGAACTGATATTCTCAGCAGATGTGGGATTGGGAGCCCATTTTTTTCTCAAAAAAAAAAAAAAAAAAGAGATAGGGCCCCCCTGGTGGCGCAAGGGGTTAAGACGCAACCTATGAAGCGATCCGCAGCCTCTGCAGCATAAGTTCGATTTCCCGGCCGGCCAGGGAGCTACCCACATGGCTCAGCAGACCTCTCCTGACTCGCCCGCTGCTCCCCTCAGCAGTGTATTTCAGTCAGTCTGCCTGTTCTGCTCCCCACTCTGTCTCTGGTGAATCCCCTCATGTCCCCCGCATCTCTGGCCTGTACCCCAGCTCTTGTATGCATAAATCAATCTTAAAAAAAAAAGGATAAATGTCCCGAGGGGTGATTAGAGGCTCCGGGGCCTGGGAACAGAGGAGGAAGAACTCCCTCTGGCCCCAGGAAGCTGACAAGGCCACGGGAAGAGGCGGTGTAAGCGGAGCTATAATTCTAAGCAGGTGGCGCTGGACAAGCACAGATGGCGGGAGGGAGCCCCAGGCCGAGGAGACAGGTCAGCCAAGGCTTCCAGGTGGGGATGGCTGAGCTTGCAGGGACACCGAGGGCAGGGAGGCAGCGCAGGGAGGTCAGGGCCAGCAGGGAAAGCCTGGAACGCAGGGTGAAGGGAAGGGTGGTCTCATCAAGAATGTGGGGCAGAAGAGTGACAAGACCACGGGGCCAGGTGTCAGGGGAGCAGGGAAAGGGTAAGGCAGAGAGAGGCGAGGGGTTTTGAACCCGGGAGGTGGCATGAGCCAGGTGGGTGGATGGCAGGCGGCAGTCAGACCCTCTGGCCACCCAGGCGTGGCCCTGGGAGCATCACCTCTGGAGACGGCAGCTTTTCCGGGTTCTTGGGGTCCAGTGCCTGCGTCACCAGCATGTCCCCCAGGATGGTGCGGAGGTGGCGGGCCATGGTCGCCTGCTGCTCCAAGCCGCAGTGGTTCTCAAGGGACAGGATGACGGGATAAGGGGATACCTGGTCGGGAGGGCAGGAGCTCAGAGCCGCTCACTCTTCCTCCCCACCCGCACCCCACTACACCTGGTCCCCAACCTACCTCCTTTGGGACAGGCAGACAAAGACAGGACTCAGGAGAACCCACTCTGGGGACACCTGAGCTGGTGGGGTGCAGACCCCGCTAGAGGGCAGAGGGCAGATCTAGGGGCTTGGGAAGCAGGTGGACTAAGTGGGAGGCTGAGGCGGCTCAGAAAAGGTTTTCTTTTATGAATGTTATTTAGACCTCTCCTGTCTCGCCCGCTGCTCCCCTCAGCAGTGCGTTAGGTCCGTCTGCCTGTTCTGCTCCCCACTCTGTCTCTGGTGAGTCCTCTTACCCCCCCCCCACACCTCTGGCCTGCACCTCAGCTCTTGTATGCATAAATAAATAAATCTTTAAAAAAAATTCTCTTTCTATGTGAAGGCTATTGACTGTCACTGACATTGCAAATTCATCTGTTGCTGTTACGGTTTGGAGAGTTTGGCAGAAGTTGTGATTTTCAGATGCCATGTTGAGCTTCTCTTCTATGACCTTCTCTTTGAAAGTCCTGATTAAAATGTCCTCTACCCCCAAGGTTTTCTTCTGGGAATTTTGCATTTTAATACATTTACTAAACATGAGGTGGGAGGTGGGAACCTCACACTAAGCTCTGCAAACCCCATGGGCCAGTTTTCCCAGCAGCACTTGGAAAATGAGTGACTTGCTTTGGAAGGTCTGAGGGTGGTAGGCATGGGAATGGGGGCAAGGGTGTCCTAGAAAGATTCTCGGGCTGGGTTGGGGTGCCGGGGGCTCACTGTGAAGGCATAGTCTCGCACGGCCTGGATCACGTCCCGGAAGAGGATCTTGGAGGTGAATGTGTGGCCGTGGTAGATGACAGGCTCCCCTCCCGGCCCCTCCCAGCAATCCAGCTCCACACAGCGGCATCCCTGGGCAAAGGCCCTGCAGGCAGATGAAATGGACAGGCACAGGGTTGTGTGGCACCCCAGACAGGGCAATGCTCTGAGCTCAGTAGGCCCCAGAAAGCCTGCATGTAGAAGCTGAGCCTCATATCCCCCCAGGCAGACATGCTCAGCCCCACCATCCCCCACCAATGTACCTAACATAGGCCTCGGTGCTGCTGGCCCCCTCAATCTGAGAGGTGGTCAGATAGGTATTGTGGGAGGAGGAGATGAAGTAGTGGGCCAGGGGCTGGTGCATGTCCTGGAACACTCTCGTGTGGGCCGGGTCCAGGGCCGCCCCCTCAGGTGACAGCAGGTACATCATGAAGCCATCCAGCGTCATCAGCTCATGCTGCTTGGCTGCAGGGATGCGCAGGAGAGAGTGTTAGGTCACATAGGGGACTCCCATGTTGAGCCCCACATGCCCCCAGTGTTCACTCCTCTTAGTAGTCAAGAGCACCTCTCTACTAAATAGACTCGACATCAGTCTTGTCATTTAATCTCCAACCACACACGATACGTGGCCTTTTACAGAAGTGGCGGCTGAGTTTCAAAGAGGTGAGTTAACCTGCCCAAGATGGCAGCAGCACTGGAAGCAGAGCCCACGCAGCTGGGAAGCCAGACCCATCAGAGGCCAGACCCGGGCCCCAACCCTGTCTCCCAGGGCCCCCACCTATCTCGTTGAGCTCGTAGGTCTGGATGAGCTGCTCGGCATGGGCCAGGGTGGCCCCGTCCTCGCCCTGGTCTGCCAGGAAGTCCAGCAGCTCAGGGGCGCTCAGCAGCTGGTCCTCGCCTGAGTACCGATGGAAGAGCTCCTCCAGCTCGGGGCGCTTCAGCAGCCGCCGCAGAAACTCCTCAATCTCGGGCCCCTCCAGCCGCTCGTTGTTGGAGTGGTCACACTCCTGGAGAGCAGGGAGCAGGAATTCAGGGGCCCCCATGGGGAAGTTACCTGCACCAACACACCCATTGTCTCCCATGTCCTCTCCCCGGGAAGGTGGATGCCCCTTCACAGGCTGGGAGACAGCCGGCCAGGCTCCGGACTCCCTCACGGCCACACAGCCAGGAAGGTACAGGCCTGGTCTCAGCTTCGGTGCCTGTCCCTGTCCACCTGAGAACGGAGATGTAGGAGGAAATCCAGGGCCCGAGGCTGGACAGAGCGCCTGTGCCAAAATCCCCCTCCCTGTGTGTGCACGTTACCACCCCTGCACTCGCACCTGGGGCCATGCGCCACTGCGAGTTCACGTGGCCGGGTGCCAGGTGGAGCACAGGCTGGCCACACAGTCAACAGCCAAGAGGGGCCTGCATGTGCTCCCACTGGGCCATGGACTCCTCCCACCTGTCTGTCGGTGTTCCCATGCACGGGGTGTACACAGTCACATGTGGAGGGGCCACCATCCATGCATGCCCCCATGGTGTGGGGCGCGCACAGGTGCCAGTGAGCTGACGCCTGCCTACACGCCCAGTGCCAGCCACACAGGGTCACATGTGCAAACGGTGCCTACAGACTAGACCACAAGGGAGGGGAGACCACAGGTCCTAGTTACCCTTGGGCTCCGCGTGCGGGTGGGAAAGGAAGTTCCCGGCCAGTGGCCTCAGCAGAGGGGGAAAGCAGCAGCTATTCCCTTTTTTCTATGCAAAAAAAGGTGTCATGATTTTTCCGACAACCCAATAGCATGGGGTCTTTCTGAGGGAGAGGCTGCTCCCTCCAGGAAAGCTGGGCGGGGGGCTCAGATGGCCAGGGAGGCAGAGAGCAGAGGTCGGCGTGGCGGCGAGCGCCCACCTTGAAGAGGCTGTAGGCGTACATGTCGTTCATGTCCACGTTGACCATTCGGAGCAGGCTCTTGATCTCCTTGAAGCTCATCTTGCTGTCCTGGTCCGAGTCCGCCCGCTGCAGGTAGGAGTAGATCCAGGTGTGGACGCTCAGGAAACACCAGTTTCAAAAAATGGAATGAACAGGCCCAAAATGGGGTCCTTCTTGCCAGGCCCCTACCTGGATTGATACCTAATCTCACTGCAGTTTCCATCTCTCCTAAACCAGCCAGTCTGGGGTTTCCCCATCAGCGCCAGTGAGGTCACCTGCATAAGACCCGGGCCTTCCCCACCCCTTTCCTTGGAGGTGAGATGGTTGCACCTGAAATAGTCTTTCCTTTGCTAATAACCTTGCACTCCCCCGCATAAATACCTCCATTTTGTTCACCCCTATCCAGGCCGGGTGCTGCGGGGTTCATGAGTTATTAATAAAGTCGACTGATGTCTAAATTCGCAGATTTTGGTTTTTTTATCACCATCAATTGGCTGACAGGTAACTAACAGGTGCCTGACTCTGGCCTCCTGTTGCCTCCCCCATGCAGGACGACTCCTCAGTCTGCAGGCTTCCCAGCGCAGTCGCCTGTGTTTCCAGCCCCCCCCACGCCCCCCCAGGCCCAAGACGGGGCTTCTCAGCCTCCTTCCGAAGACAGGAGCTCAGCCTGGGGCGTCGCGGCCAGGCCCAGCCCTCCCTCCCCGCCAGGATATTGGTCGAGGCGCTCGAGCTGGCTCATGGTGCTGAGGCTGGCGCGCAGCTTGGCCAGGCCGCGCACCCAGCACTGCGCCTCCTCCGCCGTGGGCGCCACCAGGTCCAGGTTCTTGCGACGGCCCTTGAAGGCGATGGTGAGGCAGCGCTCCGGCTCGTAGGCGCCCCCGTAGCGCCGCAGGCCCTCGGACTGGTGGCCCTGGCGGACGTCCTCGATGTGCTGCAGGTAGACTGCGGGAGGTTGGGCGGGGCGGGTCAGGGCGGCCTGGGCCCCGCGCGGCGCCCGCACGCGGCCCCTCCGCGCCGCCCGCCCCCCCCGCCCCCCCCCTCGGCTCACAGACGTGCTGCGATGGCGCGCGCGGGAAGCCCCGCTGGAACCACACGCTCAGGCCGTCCTCCTGCAGCTGGTACAGCCGCTCTTTGTGCCACCGCCGCGAGCGGATCTTGCAGAGCCGGGAGCCCCGCAGCATGGTGCGCACATCCTCGTCCTCCATCAGGCCTGCGGGGGCAGGAGGCCTGGGGTGTCAGGGCCTGGCCCTAACCGAAGCTCCTTCCACTCTCCTCCCAGATAATAGCCGGGGCCTCCCTCCCTCCCTCTCTCCCTCCCTCCCGGAGCATCTCCAAGCCTCACATCCTCTCCTTACTGTAACATGCCCCAAACCTGGGTCGACTTTCAGCTTTTCTACCTTGGCCAGGGCTTGGTGTGCCCCATCCAGGTTTCCCTGGGACAGGTGCCAGTAACAGGCCCTCCACTGGCTCTGCTAGACAGTTGCCTCTGGAGGCCCTCAGAGCACAGCACCGTCTCAGGCCACACCTGGGACCCAGCCCTCCCCGAAGGTCAGTCACCCTTTCTACTGTCCATCACAGGCTCCAACTTTGAAGCTTAGAATCTGCCTTCAACAGCCTCTTCCCAGGGCCTCCCTGGTGGCACAGGGGTTACAGCCTCAGTGCTATCAAGCTATCACCGGCCACTGTGATAGCTGTGAGTTCGATCCCCAGCCAGGGAGCTACCCACATGGCGCAGCAGACCTCTCCTGTCTCACCCGCTGCTCCCCTCAGCAGTGTATTTCAGTGGATCCTCCTGTTCTGCTCCCCACTCTGTCTCTGGTGAATCCTCTCACCACCATGACCCTCTGACCTGTACCCCCAGTTCTTGTATGCATAAATAAATAAATCTTAAAAAAAAAGCCGCTATCTCACTGTTTACCCCCACACCTCTCTTGCTGCAATCCAAGCGCCTCACTTCTGCTTTCCCAAAGACAAGAGGCAGAGCAGTGGCCACTCTGGCTCCAGGGTCACCGGCAAACCCTGCCTGGGCCCGCTTGAGGCTGACCTCAGGAGTCCTCCTTGTGCCTGGTGGGCCCAGCGGAAAGCATGGTCTCCTGTGACATCTGACACACCACCCTGCCCAGCACTTGTCATAGCCCCATGTAACCCAGCGGCCCATGGGAACTCGGAGTGACAATGTCCACCTTCTTTATTAAGAGAATGTTCACAAAGCACCTGCACAGTGCCAGGTCCTGCCCATGTATAACACACAAGAAAAGAGCACAGAGAAGCTTAAGCAGCTCGCCAGAAATCCAGGGCAAGGACATGATGGAGGCAGCTCCAAACTCCCGGGTCAGGCTCCAGTACCTTTGGTCACTTCAGTGTCCTTGGTCACTACACTAATCGCCTTGCCCCTGCTTCTCTCTTCCTCCCTCCGCCCTCCCTGCTGCCACCTTGGCCAGGGAACAGGGGTGTTAGAAAGAATTTAAATTTAGGGGTCTGGGGCGTCAAATCCCAACTTTGTCACTTTCCGGTTACATGGCCTTGGTGGCACTAATCTGTGACAGTGCTAAGCTTCATGCTGTCTGTGCCAAAAATGGACAACACGCAGTACCTGCTGCAAAGCCCAAAATTCAGCCAGATGCTGCCCATCTGGAGCACACCCTGCTGGGACATGCCTCAGCAGGGGTCAACACCAGGCTTCCAGCGACAATGGAAGGGTGAGAACTATGTAAACACGCCCTTCCAAAGAAGGGCGATAACCAGGAGTGGATGAGGGCCCAGAGTTTCCGGAGAGACAGGATCTGGATTTGTGTGTGACGCCTCTAGATTTTACAATGTTGGCAACTAAATCAAATTGAAAGACCCCCCCCCAAAAAAAAAAAAAAACACCACCACTGAGGGTCAAACAAAATAAGATGTAGGTCTCTCAAAATAAAATGTGGGTCTCTCTTCCCCCGAATATTTTAACAAGACCCCAGTACAGGGATTCACTTTAGGTTTTGTGTCCCCAAGGTTAGCCTACTTGCAAACTCTGTTCCAAGGAATCTAGTTTAAATCCCTGGACTTTCTTCTCTCACTCTCTTTTAGAAACTTTATAGGATCATTTAACCTTATACCAGAGTCCTTCAAGGACCGGCTTAGATACTCCCTCCTCCAGGAAGCCCTCCTTGATTGGTCCTCAAATGGGCAGTCTCCCTCCTTGACGACCAATAGAATATTCCACTTTAATTAATACTAACAAACATCCCATCTATAAGTATTCATTTCAGTGAACTTAAATAATCCCAAGAATAGGGATATGGTCGTACATGCTCGAAGCCAGTTTTTACTGAAAGGGGAAGCAGATGGGTGGACAGCTGGGGGACTAAGTGCATGCTACAACCTGTCCTATCCCATCTGCCCCTAATTCAAGGTAGAAGCCTGTGCTGACTAAACATCAGAACTTCCTGGAGGAGGGTTGCAAAACTCACAGTCCTGAGATTCTCATGCAGCAGGGGTTACAGTAGGGCTTGGGTATCTGTATGTTTAAAACCTACCTTGTGAGGGCCTCCCTAGTGGTGCAAGGGTTAAGACGCAAACTGTTAAGCAATCTACAGCATGAGTTAGACTCCTGGCCAGCCAGGGAGCAACCCACATGGCACAGCAGACCTCTTCTGTCTCACCCACTGCTCCCCTCAGCAGTGTATTTCAGTCAATCCACCTGTTTTGCTCCCCACTCTGTCTCTGGTGAATCCTCTCACCCCCCACACTTCTGGCATGTATCCCAGCTCTTGTATGCATAAATAAATAAATCAATCTTTAAATAAAATAAAACAAAACCTACCCTGTGAAGGGGAGGGACTGTGATAGAGCATCAGTGTCTCAGGGCCAGGAGAAGAATCCTGCCTTGCCATCCTTCTTGGGAATGGCCTTTGGCCCTAATGGCTCCAAGGGACCAGAGAGTTTAGACTATAGCACTTTGGAAGGGTGTCCACTCAGTGCCCCCTGGCCAGGAAGGAGAGCTAGAATGTGGCTTGGGCCAGGCCATGAGATTCACCAGACCCTCAGACCCCCAAGCTCTGAAGTCTCTATCCTGAGAAACAAACAGGAGTGGGTCAGGACAGTGTTCCCGCAGGTCATTTCCATGACAGACTTTGCAGCTGGAGCCACCTCCTCTGACCCAGCTCTCTGATGCCAAGCCCATAGTTGGGAGGGAGGGGTAGAGTAGAGGGGGCTGGTGAATGACTAAGGCCAGAAAAGGAGGTGAGTCACTGAGGGCTTGATTTATCCAGTTTTCTGCAAACAGTAATTGAGACAGGCAGCCTGAACTCCTGACCCGACCCCCACTGGGACAGGTTCCCATGTTGAGGCCCCCACACCTGCTCCCAATCCTTAACCCCAGCTCTCGAGGAGCCTGCTGGGGGTAGAAGTGACTTTGTACCCTTGGACCACACTGTCTCCCAACCACACCCCCAAAACCAAACAGAATGAGGGTGCAGCTCCTGGATGGGTCAGATGCTGAGTCCCTGGGTGGGTGTCTCTATTTCCCCATTGCTTAAACTCCTGAACCCTGAAGTAGTGAGGGGACAGGTGACAGGTGGGGAGGACTAGGCCAACAGAGATAAGGAGGTGACAGCAGGAGGAGAGCCCAGACCCTGGGCAGGGAGGCTGGGAGGAGCCTGGTTCTCTGCCCAGATACCCAACAACACTTATATGTCCTGCCAGGCCCAATCCACAGATGATTCTTTAAGCTCATTCCTACCTGCCTGGAGCAGGTGCACAAGCTGCCCGCTGCCTGTGGTTTCTGGGCCTCTCTCTCTAGCCATCTCTGCTTTAAACCTGAAGCCGGACTGGGCCAGGGCCACGGCCACCTCGACCAAGCAGGGGTCAGTCATGAAATAAGAGCAGTAAAAATGAAGATGAACAATAGCCAAAAAGGTGGAAATAACCCAAATGTCCACCAGCTGGATGGGTGGGCGTGTGTGGCCCCGCCACACAGTGGAGAACCATGAGGTGGGAGATGTGATCCACGCTCTGACACAGGAGAACGTGGGAAAATTACTCAGTGAAGAAAGCCAGGCCCCAAATGGCCAATATTATAGGATCCCCTTCCTAGGAGGTAGCTAGAAGAGATAAATCAGAAAGACAGAAGTGGCTTAGAGGCTGCCGGGGCGGGAGAAGGGCGGCCTGGCTATCACCGCCTGACGGTTCCAGGGTTTGTGTTTTGGAAATTGCACCACGTCGTGAGTGCACATCATGACTGTCATTCATACCCCAGAACTGGCCACTTAAGATGGATAAAATGACCAACTTTATGTTACATATTTACCACAATTTAAAAAATGGACTATGCCAGAAGACATCACACACTTCAAATGGGTGAACTGAATGCTTTGTGAATGGTTCTCCATAAAGCGATAAGGAGTCACAGAGCAACTGCCGCACTTGTCCAGGGTTACCAGGTGGCTAAGTGGGGGAGCTGCAATGTAGTGAGAGTTGGGGCAGGCTTCGAAGGGGTAACCCCCAAAGATGTGTGTGGCTTGAAGGAGCTGAAACACAAAGTGTTGGATGTAGGGCCGGGCCTAAGGGGAGGACTCAGTAAATAATAATAAAGCAGGAAACAGCCAGTGCCAGGAGGAGGAGGAGCCAGGCTTGCCCACACATCTGCCCTCCACAGTCGGGGCCTCTAGCAGCCCCTCCTCCCCGCCAGGGCTGTGGCCTCTTGCCCAGTTCAGTGTTGTCAGCAGGAGCTGAGACACCTTCCCTGAGCTGACTGCTTATCTCACCCCCAGAGCAGGGCAGGGCCAGGAGGTGGTGAGGAACGGGCAGGCCCAACTTCCCAGCCTGGGCTCTCTGGAGAGTGTGGCCTGCCACCGATGAAGTCCTGTCTCGAGTGCCTCCCCAGTATCAGGGAGCCGGGAGGGCCGGCCCACCTCTGACCTTCAAATCCTATGGGTCACTGAAGCCGTGTATGCTGACAACAGTGGGGGTCACCAAGGCAGGGATGGGGCAGGGCTGTGTAGGGCAGGGTCAGGTTGGGGGTGGAGAGAGGGAGTGAGGACGGGGTGGGGTGCCCTGGGGTTATGGGGGGTGTAGTCCGGAGGAGCAGTCTGCACAGCAGGGTGTGTAAGGAGTGGTAGGTGTCCGGTGAGGGTGTGCAGAGGGTGGTGTGTGGCTATGGGGGGTGTGTAAGAGAGAGAAAGGGGGCATGCTCAGGAAGGGCACACAGGTTCCAGCAGGAATGCAAGACACGCAGGGCATAGACAGACTCAGCTTCACGCCAAGAGGGGAGGAGGCAGCAGCTTTTCCTGGAAGCTGGGCCCTGAGGCCTGGGAGAGGCTACACTTCATCAAGGGCTCCCAAATACCTTCCTACCTTCCAAATACCAAAACTCCTGCCAGCAGGCATCCCCTGCCCCTGGGTCCCAAGCCTGTCTCTGTCCCCCTTCCACGCCAGCTGCCACACCCAGGCCTGGAGCCCAGCAGAGCTCAGGGCCAGAGCCCATCATAACATTCCTCGTAGAATCAACAGTCAGAAAAGACAGGCTGTTTCTCTTGCTCCTGGCCAGCAGAGAGGAAGGGGGCAGCACCTTCCCAGGGGGGCAGGGGAGCTAAGAAGTCTGTTTGGGAGCAGATGTCATAGGGGGGCTCCCCAGAGCTGAAGAAGTTGGAGAGGTGAGGGGTACCACAAGGCTTGGCAGAGTCAGCCTCATAGTGCTGCCAGGCGTTCCCCTGACTGGCCAGGGGGCCTGCCTAACCACCAGATCAGGCACCTGCCAGGACTGGGGGCTGGTCTGAAGATGCCCCCTGCTAACCCCACTGACCCTGCAGGAGACAGCCCAGTAGGCCAAGGAGAGCCTCTTGCCTGGTCCCTGGCAGTGCATGCAGGCTGGGGGTGGGGGAGCAGGATTCTGCGCATTCAGGGTTCTGTCCACTGGGAGAATTAGGGGCAGGCGGAGCCATGGGCACAGGGTCGCCAGGTAAAATCCAGGACAGCTAGTTGAATTAAAATTTCAGATAAACTGGGCCTTCCCGGTGGCGCAGCGGTTGAGCGCTGGGTTGCGAAGCTGCCCGCGGCCTCTGCAGCGCCGGTTCGATCCCCGGCTGCTCCCCGACCACCGGAGGAGGGTCCCATATGGCGCGCAGACCTCTCCTGCCGCCCGCTGCTCCCCTCAGCAGTGTACTTCGGTCCCTCTGCCTGCTCTGCTCCCCGCTCTGGCTCTGGTGAATTCTCTCACCCTCCCGCGCTTCTGACTGTACCCAGTGCTTGTATAAAAAAAAATAATAAATAATAAATAAATAAATAAATCTTTAAAAAAAATTAAAAAAAAAATTCAGATAAACAACAAATAATACTTTTGTATAAGTATGTCCCGCATTACTCATTGTTTATCTGAAAATCACATTTAACCGGGCATCCTGTGTTTTAGTTGGCAAGCCCATGAGGACACCCTGGGGGCTGGCAAGGCCACTGGGGGGGAGGTGAGTCCCAGGCCCTCTCCAAGTTTAAATCATTCATTCATTCATTGTGTTAGGAACCTGACCCTGGGCCAGACTGCCTGGGTTGGGATCCTCTCCGCCACTTTCCGGGTCCCACCTTCTCTGAACCTGTTTTCTCATTTGGAAGGTGAAGCTAATGGAATTCACTGCCTCCTATGGTGCTGGCCATTAGCGAGCTAATATGTGTTATAAAGGCATTAATTAGCCTTCATTAGTCCTGCAGGTAAAGAGCCATCATTGAAAACTGGGCTTTGGCGCCTCTGGCCAGGGGTCTTGGGGTGGCACCCGGGACCTCCACCTCCCAAGGTTCTCGACAGTCAGGTAGGAGAGCAGCGGCTCCTTCCCAGCAGCAGCGCAGCAGACTAAGGGGTCTGGGCAGACGCACTGGCCCTGTGTGTGGGCCCCTTGGCTCCTCTTCAGCCATTCCCTGGCTCCCTGGGGCGGGCCCAGCGCAGCAATCCAGGGAAGGGACCCACTCCAGATGGGGTGGCTGTTCTTCCCTCCTTCTTGCTCCTGGTTCTCCCAGTATGCCCCTAAAGCCTCTTTCTCCTTGGTCCCTTTGAGGAACCTATGACCTTGAGCTGCTCCCTACCCTCGTCCCTTGGTGAACCCGATCTAAAATGAAACCTGTTCTCTGTTAGCATAAGAGGTGTGGCGATGGAGGTGACCTGCCACAGCAAGAGCCATCTGAGGAAAGGCAGCTGCTAGTGGAAGCCACTTGGGTGGTAGGCCAAGGCCTAGGCTGGGTCTGAGGGCTGGGCCCAGGTCACCTGTGTTTCATGTCCACTCGGTATGCCCGGGGGTGCATTCTCAGAGACTGGACATTCCTCTGTTAGCAGTCATGCCGCAGGATAGGGCAGTGTGTGTGTGTGGGGGGGGGGGGTGGACAGCCCAGATGACATTCGGACACCTACACAGCTCCCAATAGTGTCATTGTGATGGGTGCCAGAGGTCCCGTGCACCCTTACTCAGCGACAGGTGCTGAGTCCTGGGCTCAGCTATAATTATTTGTCTACAGTGTCTCCTGCCACCAAGTGATGCATTCCCCAAGGGCAAGGTGATGCACTGCTTGTCTCCGGAACCCCGACCCGGCACCCTGACACATGGATGGGGTGTGGCAAATGTGTATGGAATGAAGAGGCAGACAGGTATGCAGGGGCATCACCTCAGTCCTCCTTTGGCATCCCTAACCCCTGCGGCTTGTGGATCCAGAGCTGTACCTCAACTCCCACAGCCATTCTCCTCCCCTCGAAACCATTCTCTGCTACTTAAGCCAGAGTAACACTGCCATCCCAGAGACACCTTTCCGATCCCACAACTGTAACATCTAAGCCCACCCTTAGATGGTTCTGGAATCCATCTAGGCCACCATCTCTCATCCAACTGCCTTCTCAGCCTCCACCTGATGGGTCTCCCTGCTTCACCCCTGCCTTCATTCCTGCACCCCTACTCTAAATAACTTACCCAAAGTCTTCGGGGACTCAGGCTGACCTTCAGAGAAATCACAGGACCCCGTAAGGAGGGTCCTTGAGAATGTGGCCCCCACGTGTCCCTCTCTTTTTGTCTTATTCCAGTCTCACTCTGGCTCAGCGGTGCAGCCAGGGCCCGCTCTGCTCCCTGACATCTCAGCGGTGCCTCCCTTCACAGTCTCATTTCTGTTTCATGTCCTGACCTCCTTGCTGATGCTTCTGCTCTCTAGAGGCCAGGACTGTCTGTCTTGTTCTCATTGCAGAATCCCTGGGGCCAGGCCTCCCAGGTGGCCTAGCGTTAAGTCTCAGAGCTGCCATTGCTCCAGCCTGAGTTCGATCCCCAGCCAGGGAGCTGACCTACACGGTGCGGCAGACCTCTCCTGTTTCGCCCGCTGCTCCCCTCAGCAGCATATCTCAGTCTATCTGCCTGTTCTGCACCCCACTCTCTCTGGTGAATCCTCTGGTGAATCCACCTCTGGCCTACACCCCAGTTCTATGCAAAAATAAAATCTTAAAAAAAAAAAAAGAACCTCCAGGGCTGAGCATGCTACGGCACAGCATACTACAGGCACTCAAGTGCCAGCTGAATGCACCCAGCACTGCTGGAGGACACGCCGAGACCACAGCTCAGAGCAGGGTGCCGGCCCCGTGTGCAGAACAAAGTCAGCTCTCAGCAAACTCAGAATGAGTGAGAGGAAGTAGAAGCAAGAACAAAGGGGACAGTGGCACATAGGAGGCAGGACTGGCAGCCGGGCCCCCTGAATTCTCCCCTAAGGGTCACACAGGTCTCCTGGGCAGCCCTGCCCGCTGTTCCCGCAGCGCCACTCTCAAGCTCCCTACCAGCACTTCAGTTTTACAGCCCTGGGTAGCTTCCATTTCACCAATACTCACACATACACCCCTTTATCCAAAGTCCTCAATGACCAGCCAGTCCCACTTTGCCCAGCTCCCGAGAGGGTCCCCGAGCTCCGGGCAATCTGTGCAGTCACAAACTCCTTGACCTCTCTGAGTCATTTTCCTCCCCTGCAAGAAGGAATTACACCACTAGCTGTCAGGACGGTGCAGAGACCACACTGTCGCCACCAGCCCGCCTGGGTCTGGTAGGCATCTTAAGAAGCCAGTTACATTCCTTCCCCGAAGTGGCTTCCCCCGGGTCAGAGCCTGGAACTCGGGGCAGTGTCCTCACCAGTCAGACCAGTTCCACCCGCACCCCACCGTGTTGCTGCTGGGGGCGCTGGCCAGGAAGCCCAGCCTCTTCCCAAACCTTCCTGCCCTCCCAAGGCCGCCAGAACCCAGGAAGGCCTGGGGCACCCGCAAACCTTAGAAGGCAGATGCGTAGGGGAGGCAGGCGAGGGACACGCAGCTCGGGGTTGTCAGGGACCCCAATATGCCCCCGGCCCAGACTCGCGCCGCCGCTTGCCCTGCGGGCAACTCTGGTGAGACCCAGTCTCGGGAGCCCCAGGTGCGCCCCGCGGCCGGAGGAGCGCCGCATGCCACCCGCCCCGCCCCCCGAGCCCCCACGCAGCCCGGCGGGCCCACGAATGGCTCTCGGAACCCGGGCCCCCCGCGGCTGCGCCCCGGGGACAGTCGGCGCCCACCCGAGCGCCCTGCCCGTCACTGACCCATCTTCTTCAGCGCCCGCAGCCGGGGCCTCTTGGCGCCGCCGTCGGGGGTCGGGGTCGAGACGGGCGCCGCGACCGCGGGCGGCCGGCGGCAGCTCCCCCAGCGGACGCACGGCATGGCTCGCTGGGCCGGGGCCGGGCCCGGGGTCCGCACGCGGGGCAGGTCAGCGCTCCGGCCCGGCCCCGGCTCTGCGCGCCTCGCGAGCGAGGAAACTCCGCGGCGGCCGGAGGGAGTCGCGAGCGGGAGGCGGCGGCGGAGCAAAGTCGGACGCGGGGCCGGGAGGGCGGGAGGCAGGGGCGGGGCGCGGCGGCGCGGGGGAGGCGCTGGCCCGGGCGGGGAAGGGGCGGGGACCCCAGGCCCCGAGCTGCGCCCGCCCGAGGCGTGGCCGCGGCCCCCGGTCTGCGCCTTCGCCTGCTGGCGACCGCGGGTCCCCGGCTCCGGCGTGGCCAGAGCCCCCCATGGTGGGGGGCCCCGGAGAGGGGGGCGGCCCTCCGGAGCAGACACCCCCTCCTCTCAGGGCTCCGACTCCGCGCACTCGGGGCCGCGCCGCCCGGGCCTTTCCCGTCCGGCCGGGCTGGGGCCGGCACCTGCGGGGCGGCTGGCCCTGGGCCAAAGGTCCTGGGGCCCCGAAAGCCGACAGAAATCCGGGCGCTGCGCGGGGAAGGGGCGCGGGGAGCGGCGGGGAGCGGGGAATGCTCCGGCGTGACGTCATGGGGTTAACTCGCTCGGGGCCGGCGCGTGGCCCCCGCCGAGCCAGGCGTGGCGAGGGTGGGGTGGCGCCAAGTCTGGAGTCCCGGCAGAACCCCGATTCCGGGCTTGGAGACTGGACGGGCTGGCACCCCGCGGGGTTCCGTCGCCCCGGGACGGCCTCGGCGCTGCGCAGACGCCCCGGGCATCCCCGGCGGGTTCCGGCGACCGCGCCGCGTGTGCTCCCAGCTGTGAGCAAGCCCGCGAGCGCGTCCGCGCGCGGGCCGGGGGGGCCGGGGCCGGCGCGCGCCCGTCGGGTCCCGGGAGCCGGGCAGACACCGCCTCTCCGCGGCGGCCGGGGGCGCGGCAGCCCCGCGCAACGCTCGGTTTTCCAGGACCAGATTTGCCGCCCGCTGCTCCACCCGGTTCTCAGACAGCCCGGGCCCGGGCTCCGCCCACTGGCGTGGGTGCGCACCCCTCGGGATGTGCTTTCGGAAAGTGGGGTCTCGGTCGCTGCACTCCTGCCCCTGTGGTTCCTCTCCTGCAGGCACGCCTCCCCGCTCCCCTGTCCTCTTCGGTCTTCCCAACTTCGGCTCCAGGCCCTCCTCCTCCTCCAGAGCCCCTGACCCCAGGGCATGACTCTCACCGCAACGCCCGCGAGTGTGGAGAGCTGAGCCCCGACTCTGCGCCCTGCGGGACCCGCCGCCCGGCACCCGCGCCGGCTTCCGCCCGGGCGCGCGAGGACGCCGCGCCCGTCACTGTGTCCACCAGGGGGCGCCCGCCCGCCCCGCCGGCCCGGGCCGGGGAGCCGACCGGTGCCTTCGCCGGCCTGATTGGGAGAAGCAGCGCTCATTTGTTTGCATAATCTTGAAAGGGCCGCGCTGAGTGGCTGGAGTATAGAAGGCGAATCTGAAACGGGCCCTCTCATTGGCTCGAGTTTCCCCCCTCGCTCGGCGTTCGCATCCCGGCCAGACCGGGCCGGGAGGTCGGTCGGAAGCCTCCGGCTGGTGGCGACGGCGGACCCAGGGGTCCGGGCAGTGGGCGCCGCGGGGTGAGTGCCGAGCAGCCGGGCCGGGGTGCGAGGGCCAGGGTGGGAGGCGGCCCGCCGCGCCCTGACTCCTCTTCTCTTGCTCATTCGCCCGTGTAGGAGTTGGAGGCGCCATCCAGAGGCCTGCGACCCTGGCCACCCGCCCGGCCGCCCCCGCGCCCAGGGGCCTCTGCACCCACCCACGCTGATTTCGCGGTAGGGAAAGGCGTCTCTCGGCGGCAGCTTCTGGCATCCCGGGCCACCTCACTCCGGCCTCTGAAGAGCTTAGTTTGCCTCTCCGGAGAGTGGATCAGTGGCTGCCTTTGGAGCGGGCGGGTGGGCCCGAGGCGCGCCCAGTCGGAGGTTTGTTGTTGCAGAGTCGTTCCAAAGCAGGGTCCCAGGGCTCGGAGCGGCTGGGTATGGGCACCGAGAGTGAGAGCCCAGAACCAGACTGCCAGCAACAATTCCAGGCCGCTGTCAGCGTCATTCAGAACCTTCCTAAGAATGGTGAGGGCTGGGGCGCCCGCACTGGGGTGGGGGGGGGCAAGACGGCTGGGGTCAGCCTCCCAGGAGGCTCTGATTCCGACGGCTTTTGCAGACACGTCCCTACCTGCCTTCTCCCGAGGGCCCTGTCCAGCCGTCCTGGGTGGGACCCCGGCCATCAGGGACCTCTCCAAGAGTGGATCTCCCCCACCCCGTCCTCTTGGAGCTGGGGGTGATGCTCTGCCCTCCACTTCCCAATTCCTGCTCAGGCTCATACCGCCCTTCCTACGAGGAGATGCTGCGATTCTACAGCTACTACAAGCAGGCCACCATGGGACCCTGCCTAGTCCCCCGGCCTGGCTTCTGGGATCCCATTGGACGATATAAGTGGTGAGCTCCCCACCAGCGGGGCAATCAAGGCTCAGCTGTCAGCTTGCCCCCTCACAGCTCCCTGTCCCCTAGGGATGCCTGGAACAGCCTTGGCAAGATGAGCAGGGAGGAGGCCATGTCCGCCTATATCACTGAGATGAAGCTGGTGGCACAGAAGGTAGGGAGAGGCTGGGTGCTCCCAGCCAGGTGGCCTAACCCTTCCATTGCTGACCCCCATATGTCTCCTGCATCTTGACACTCCTGTGGGAATTACCACCTTCCTGCTATCCCCCCAACTCTGTCTATCTGTGGTTCCAGACTGGACAGGAGCAGGTCGGAGGGTGCCCAGGTGAAGGGGATAGGAGGGTAGTTGGGGTAGGGGCCAACCTCTCCCCCAAAAGACACCCTCCCCCACAGGTGATCGACACAGTGCCCCTGGGCGAGGTGGCGGAGGACATGTTTGGTTACTTCGAGCCCCTGTACCAGGTGATCCCTGACATGCCGAGGCCCCCGGAATCCTTCCTGAGAAGGGTCACAGGTCAGGTCCCCAGGTCGGGAACTCCACAGGTGCTGAGTGAACTACCTTAGGTCCAGGCTGAGGAAGCTGGAGGGGGGTGCTGGGGGCTGGGGGTTCCAGCTGATGTTCTTGTAAGCACCCCCAGTGCGCCTGATAGGGCAGGGGTTCAGGCGGAGTTCATGGCTAACTAACAGGGAGCAGGGACCAACCTCTTCCCAGCTCCACCTCTGGTGCCGTCTTTCTGCAGGTTGGAAAGAGCAGGTACTGAATGGAGATGCTGGGGCTGCCCCAGAGCCTCCCTACCTCCCCAAAGAACCAGCACCCCCAAACCCAGGTCAGTGCCTGGGCAAGAGGGACAGTGCCAGAGGTGGGGGCACCTCCAGGTGGAGTAGAGGGGAGCAGGCTAGATGCCCTGCTGCGCCTGTCACCTCAGCCCTCCTGTGCTTCCAGAGGCCCTGGGGCAGGGGTGGGGGAGGTTCTGGGATCCCTGGGCAAGGGCCTTACTTCTGGGTGCCAGCCGTGCTTCGGTGGCAGTATCTCTAGTGCCCCCTGAGATGCCTAGTTGTACACCCCTCCCCTCCCTGTCTTGCCTCCCCTTGTCACTAACCCTGCCTGCCCCTCCTCAGAGTCTCCGACAGCCAGAGACCTGGACTCTGAGGTCTTCTGTGACTCCCTGGAGCAGCTGGAGCCTGAGTTGGTGAGAGCAGCCCCCTTGCTCCTTCCCCACAGCACTGCCCTAGCTGCACCCTCCACCCTCAGACCTGGTGGCTCCTCTCTGCAGGTTTGGGCAGAGCAGAAGGGCGCCCCCGGAGGAGAGCCTGAAGCCAGATACAGCTCCAGCCCCGAGCCTCTCACAGAGAAAGGTGAACTCCTGCCCAATCCTTCACCTCCTCTGCCCTTCCTTGTGGTTCTGATGCCCCAGCCTTCCCCTGACTGCCCTCTTGGGGCAGAGGTGAAAGTCCAGCTCTGGGCACGGGAGTGAACAGTCTCTCTCCAAGAAGGGTTGCCAAACAGCCAGATACTAGGCTGGATGGGCAAAGTCCCTGCCGGGCACCTCTGGATGAGGCCGCCACTGGGAGTCTGTGCCCCGGGCTGGGGCCGAGTCAGGGCCGCCGGGGTAGGGCTCCCGGCCCAATTCTGTCGCTGCAGCTTTGCGGCCTTGGGACTCTTCCTCTCATCGGGCACTTTCAAAGGATGATCATAAGCTCTGCCTTGGCTCCCTCTAGATCTGCCAACGTGCCATGTTTCATAAGGTTTCACAACTGGTCATTCCTCTGAGCAAGCAGCCCAGCAAGGGCATGACATCTTCCGCTAATTTTCTGATGACAAAAGGAGGCTCAGAGCAGTTTCTGGCTTGCCCTAAGTCACACAGCTAAGTGGCAGGGCTGGGATCCAGATTCCTGGCAGCCTGTTACTCAGCCGCGTGGTTGGGCTTTGTAAGAGTCACACTTGGTGCCAGGGATTGCACTCCGTTCTTCCCTGCCCCTGCCTGCGCCACCCTGCACCGCCTGACTTGCCTCCTGAGTTGCCTCCCCTGTGTGCCTGTGCTCCACAGAGGGGCTGGAGGGCAGCCTGGTGGGACCCCAGGAATTGGACACGTGGCTGGTGGGGACAGTTCGAGCGCTGCAGGAGAGCATGCGGGATGTCCAGGGGAGACTGCAGAGCCTGGAGAGTATGCCCTGCCCCCCAAGACAGGTGAGCCTCCCGGGCCCGGGGCAAGAGTAGGGCAGAAGGCCGAGGGTCTCTATTCTGGGGTCCTCACCCAACCACTTCTGTGTCCCCCAGTGCCCACCTGCCCACCTCTCTACCTTGTCCAGAGGATGGTGTGGCTCAAGTCCCGAGCAGGGAAGTCAGGGGGCTGAGGTGATTCCACCCGGGAGGAGAGAGTGGGGAAAGGCCCTTCTTTCCTGCTCTTCGTGTCCCGGCCTGAGAGACTGAGTGTTAGGACTAAATTTAACTGCTGGAAGGTCTGGGATGTGTCTGCTCTTGGCATTGGGGCTGGAGATGCCTTGTTGTCCCTGTTCCCAGACTTAAGGTTTGCCCCCGCCAAACAATTCAGTCCATGCAGCCTTCAACTTCTAGATCTACTTGCATCTTGCACCTCAGCTCCTGGGTTCCTGCAAAATAAGTGTCAGCTGCCATTTCTGGGTCCCCAATGTGTGCCACTCGACTCGGAGTGTCTCCTTTAATCCACAGCACAACGCTGTGAAATAGGTTTTCTTTTCTCTTCCCTGCCACAGATGAGGAAACTAAGGCTCTGAGAGGTTGAGTAATGTACCTGATGGCCCACAGCCCGGAAGAACCTGATTAGATAGATAATACATGTAGGTGCTTCTTCAGCGCCCCACACACAGGCAGGTTGCTCAAATGGGGTTCATTGCTATTATTACTACTATTTGCATTAAGTGAGGGAGCTGGGAGTGCCCCCAGGTCTAGATCCCTCCCAAATTGGCAGCCACCATTCACTCTGAAGCCTGGGGTGGTGGTGGCAAAAGAAGGCTGAGTTGTTGAATATGGGGGATCACTCAGGTGACCCTTTTTTTTAAAAGATTTATTTATTTATACATAGAAGAACTGGGGTGTAGGCCAGAGGTGTGGGAGGTGAGAGAACTCATCAGAGACAGAGTGGGAAGCAGAACAGGCAGATCTACCAAAATACACTGCTGAGGGGAGCAGAGGGCATGACAGGAGAGGTCTGCTGCGCCATGTGGGTCAGCTCCCTGGCCGGGGATCGGAACTCATGTTGCAGTGGCTGGTGGCAGCTTGACAGAGTTGAGACTTAACCCCTGCGCCACCAGAGAGGCCCCCAGGTGACCCTTAACCTTAATCCCCTTGGCACAGTTAGCAAGAGTGGCAGGAATTTTACAGTTGCCAACCTTTCAACACCTATTCCCCCAGGCTTTTTTTTTTTTTTTTTTTTTGCCTTTTACTATTGGGTTGTTGGAAAAGTTATGACATATTTTTTCTGTTTTTCTCAAGCAAAAATGCATCATGACTTTTCCAACAACCCAATAATTTCATATGCCTGAGGTTTTCAAGATTTCCACTCTGAAATACTTGGGTTTGCATCTCTACTACCTAGCCAAATCTACATTTTATCACCCCCAGTAATTCCTTCATGTCATCCAAATTCACATCTCCCCAGTTATCCTGAAATTGCCTTTTCCAATTTCTCCCAGTTGCTGTGCCCGTCCAGGCTCACACGTGTACCTCTCCCCTTCCCTTTAACCTACATTTGATTTTATACTCTTGTCATCCACACCAGTTCCCTCCCTTGTACTGGCTTGTTGATGAGACTGGGCCAGTGGTCCTGAAGAGTGTTCCACTTTTTGGATCGGATTACACCCTCAGGACTCATGTAGGTGACCAGATTACCTAAGAGAGGGCTGTCTTCCCACCATTAGTGATTCGGGGGGGGCCACTAGAATGGATGGAATGAAAGTCTGACCCCACTATTGGAAAGTCATGTTTTCCTCTTGCAGCCAGGGGGTGTCCAGTTCCCTGTCAGTCCCACTTGCCACACAGATTTTGACAACTGATAATCTTTGACTGGATCAATAATTAATTTAGTGGCTGCAAAAACCATGACATGATTTTTTTTTTTTTTAAATAGAGCCATGTTTTATTTATTTATTTATTTGTTTGTTTTGTTTATACATGCACTGGGTACATATGACATGATTTTTTTGTAGAAGAACTGGGGTATAGGGCCTCCCAGTGGCACAGCAGGTTGAGTGCTGCGCTGTGAAGCTCTCTGCAGCCTCTGCAGTGCGAGTTCTATTCTCTGCTGGCCAGGAAGAAACCCACATGGTGTGGCAGACCTCTCCTGCCTCGCCCGCTGCTCTTCTGTCTGCCTGCCTATTCTGCTCCCCGCTCTGTCTCTGGTGAATTCTCTCACCCTCCTGTGCCTCTGACTGTACCCCAGTTCTTGTATAAATAATCTTAAAAAAAAAGAACTGGGGTGTAGTTCAGAGGTGGGGGGGTTATGAGGAATGAGAGGATTCACCAGAGACAGAGTGGGGAACAGAACAGGCAGACTGACTGAAATACACTGCTGAGGGGAGCAGCGGGTGTGATAGAAGTGTGCTGCGCCATGTGGATCAACTCCCTGGCCGGGGATCAAGCTCAGGCTGTAGTGGTCATAGCTCCGAGATTTAACCCCTAAGCCACCAGGGAGGCCCCCCAAAACCATTACTTATAAATTAATTCTATTATTCCTCTACCATTTATTAGCTCTCATTTTGGGGGCAGAGATTCCCTGATCTTCTAGGATTTCCCTGAAATACAGTGCCTTGTGGAAAGACAGAATTAGTGCTACTTCTTTCTTTTAATGATCTATTTTTAAAGTAAGGATTTAACAGTCACCTCCTTGGTGATGCATTTCCAACTTTCTCTTTTGTCAAGTTTCATTATAGACTCATGGATTTTAAAGATTTGGTATTTCAGTCAGCTGCAATCTCCACACTTTTTGCTGCTTGGACTCAACGGCTCTGGTCAGCAGGGCTCCTTTCAAGCTGGGTCCTAAGTTCTGATCATATGACCTCAACCTGTGAAAGCTCCCTTGCTCTCTGGTACAAGGTGCGCCACCGTCACCTCTACCGTCCCTGCTCCAGACCTGGACTCAGGTGCTTCTCCAAGGAGAATTACATTTAAAAACTAAAATCGGAGCATCCAGGGCTCTGGTTTGATATAGGCAGCACATCCTTTCTGATATGGGATCTTCAGGCCATAACAATGGCTCCCTGCTTTGTGGCCTAGAGGAGACAGCCCCTCAGCCTCCAGCGCCTGGGGACGCTTGCTGTCAGGGACACACTGGGGCCCCAGGGTCCAGTCGCCTTCCTTGGGGGCAGATCCACAGGTCAGGTCTCCTCTGCTCTGCCCTCACCACCTCAGGGAGGCAGAAGGTCCACTGAGTTTCTAAGGAGGGCCAGTCCGGGCCAGTCCGGGCCGCCCCTGACTCCCTCCCTCTTGGCAGCAGGGGCCCCCATCCAGGCCGCGGCCCTGGCCCCTCAGTCTCTCTGGCCCCACGCTGCTCTTCTTCCTCCTGTGGCCCTTCATCGTCCAGTGGCTCTTCCGACAGTTTCGGACCCAGAAGAGGTGACTCTCCACGGAGGGGCTTCTGCAGCCAACCGAGGAGGCCCTGAGCCTGCTGTGCCCTGAGCCCGCCGAGGGTTCAGGAGAACAGCTCTAAACACCACCCCCCACATAAGTGTTTGCCTTGGCACCCCTGCCCTGTTGGGGGGCCGGGTAGGACCCCACCCTTTCCTGCAGTTTCACAAGGGCGCTTCCGGGCTCCCCCCTCCACCCCACGAAGTTCCCTCGGAGGCTGCCCGGGCCGTGCCGGTCCCGGGCCGGGGCAGGCGGGGCTCAGCCTCTGCCCTGCCCCCTCCCCGGATCACCTGACTCTGCTCCCCCAGCCGCTCCCCTCGGAGGCTCCGCTCGGGGGCCGGTTAGGACTTGGGCCGGGCCGGGAAGGGCGATTGGCTGCGCGCGGCGGGCGCGGCGGGCGCGGGCGGGGCAGGCGGCGGGCGGGCCCCGCGGGGAGGGGCGGGAGCGCGAGTCCCCGCCCCTCCCCCACCGGGGCGCCTGCGAGGGCGCTTCGCCCGCGCGCGAGCGTCTCCGTCAATAAATAAAGCCTTAATCCGCTGCCGCTGGCCCTCGGGAGTGAGGCGGGAAGCGCGGTCGGGGCGCGCGGCCCCCCGGTGCCCGGGGACGGCCCGGAGAGGCCGGCGGGGGCCGGGGGAAGGAAACCCCGAGGTTTCGGCCCCGAGGCGCGGGGGAGCGGGGCGGCTGGCGCTCGAGCGCGGGGCCCCGGCAGCCGGGGTGCCCGGCGGAGCGCGCCATTCGCCTCCCCACCCCGTCTGGGGCGCCCGGCGAGCTGGGGGTGGCCGCGAGGACAGGAATGCGGGCGGAGGCTCCGGCCTCTCCCCAAGGGATGGGCGGCTGCTCGGGTCTCCGCGCACTGAGCGCGGGGCCGGGGTCTGGAGACCCGGGCCCCCCAAGTGTGCGCTTTGGCGCGCCCTCCCCTTGACCTCCGCATTTGGGCTTTCCCTAGGAACTTTCTGGAAGGCCGAGTCCCAGCGGGAGGCTCGTTCCCGCCCCTTCCTTAGGAGTGTGTGTGAGGGGGATCCTATGCGGGGAGCCCCCATGGGGTGGGCACAGGCCTCAGGATGCCGGCGGCTGCTCGTGCTCCGGGTTTATTTTTTTTCCTGCTGGCGGCCTTGACCTCCTTGTGGTCAGTGCCAGCCCTTATCATCCAGCCTGGCCCTAACCAGGGCCGCGATTCGAAGGGGAACTCGCCACTCGGAGCGCCTCCTAGTGTTGGCGTTTCTGAGGCCACGGGCCAAGGTCCCGCTTGCTGTGGATTGCAGCAGCCTTGCACTCCCTGCAGCTGCCACCACCTGGGCCCCAGGACCTTCCTGCCCCAACGTGAGGCAGAAACTGTTGAGAAGCCCCCTGAGAGACCCCTAAGTTCCCGAATTCCCTGTCAGCGCCAGGCTCGGCCGTCATTTATCCACTGGAAACCAAGGTCACTCTTAACTCAGTCCTTCTCATGCATGGGCCCTGCTGCTGCATGGTTCAACCCAAGGTTATAAGCAGAAGCTTGTGTTAGGATGCACAACAGTGGGGCAGTGGGAGAAAGCAAACAGATGCTGGGAATGCAGGTGTGGGGCAGAAGCCAGCTCCACCACTTGCACAGACTAGCTGTGTGACCTGGGCAAGGTTCTTCTCTTCTTCAAGCCTGGGTTGGCTTGTTTGTGAAATAAACATGCTCTCTTCCTCATAAGGCAATCCTAAGGTTTAAATGACCAGAAATCTTGAAATACTTGGCAAAGGGTTAACACAGTATCAAGGAGCCCGGCCTCTTGATAGAATTCTAGAATACCACCACCTATCCGTCTGGCTACGCCCCACCCCCCACCTGACAAAAAAGCACACACGCTGAGCCCAGTAAAGAGAGGCTGGGTTCAGCTGTACCTTCTGGATCCCTATTGAGGTGTCTGGATTGTGGTAACAATTTGGAGTTCACTGACTCCCAGTGAACTTATCTGCAAAAACCCTTTTCTTTGGGGAGCACTGGGTGTGAGGGGCAGATTCTGCCCACAGGAGGTTGCAGGACTGATCGACTGATAAAGCAGCAGACAGGAGGGCAGGTTTTCAGAGGACCTGAGCTCTGGAAAGCCCAGGGATGTGCCCAAGGCACTCTCGCTCTGCTTTCCCTTTGGGCATGCCCGCTTACCCAAAGAACTAGGAGTTCCCAGACATGGTCTTTCTCTGGATACCATGCTGCTTTCGTAGATGCCCTGAAACAGTACACCCTTCAGTGAGTCAAGAAGTCACCTCTCCCATAAAACCTAAAATCCCCAGCTCCCAAGCAGCTTGGCTCAAACTCCTACCGGGATTTTGTTCACTTGCTGCCGGGGCTTGATAGCCTCTGCACATGCGCAGCGAGAATGACGCTCTTCATCATTGTACCCTCCTAACAAGTGCTTGGTAAGTGAAGAAATAAGAGCCTGAGCTAGGCTAAAGCTGTTGGAAATGAAAATAAATTAGATCTAGAGTTCTCAAGGAAAGGGGATTTTGTGTTTGTGACAGAGAAAATGGCACGGGGGTCCTTCGCTCTAGTCACAATCGCCACATAGTTGTCACGTGACTTAAACAAGTCACTGAATTTCCGAGTCTCAGCGATTTCTTATCTCAAAATGGAGACAATAATTCCTACCCTTGCCCAACTCATCGGGCTGTGGTGGGGTCAAGTGGTTCTGCAGGTATCAATGTTTAACAGTGGAAAGCGGCTGGAATGTGGACATTCAGGAGGAAACCGAAGGGGTCATCGGGTGTGGGTGAGCGCGATTCCACTTAGATTTCAGGCCTCAGTTATCGGAGGGGACGGTTTGGGCCACTCCCGGTCAGTCCTCAGGATGTGAGCTGGGACTCTGGAGATGAGGGAGAACCCTGTCCCTTCCCTCCCGCCCCCCATGAATTTACCCCCTAATCTGGGCCACAGCCCCCCTAAATCCATTTCTGGGCTCCCATGAATTTACCCCCTAATCTGGGCCACAGCTCCCCTAAATCCATTTCTGGGCCAAGCCTCCTCCTGCAGGGGGTGGGGGTGGCTTTAAGGGCCTCCGTGGATTCCTCTGGCCCTCTTGGCGAGCCGAGAGAGCAACCGGGCTAGTGACTTAAACTCGTAATTTCGAAGCCCTCCCCAACAAAGAGGCTCATCCACTGGTCCGGACTCCCCGATCAGGGCCCAGGAAATGTTTCTGGTCGGAAGAGATCAAGTCGGCCCCAGGAGGCCATTTTCTTCGACACACTGGCGGCTGCGCGCCGGGGGCGAGGCCTTCCCGCCCGGGTCTCCGGGGAGACCAGGGCCCACGCCCCGCGCCTCCGTCAACAGACCCAGGCGAGCACCTCGGCTACGGCCCCCCCACCCCACCCCCCGCACTGGCTCCTGCGCGACGGTGATTCTGCAGGACAAGGCTGGGGCCGCGCTTTCGCCCTAGAGTCCCGAGGCCGGGCCGAAGGTGGACGCCAGCCGGGACTCGAACCCGCCTTCTCGTCTTCCGCGGCCTAGTCCCGGGTGCTGCGCTAAGGTAGTCACGGTCCCTTTAAGACGGCACTTTTATTCATTTGTTTACTTCTTCATGCGCTTTTCGGCTTTTGCCAAACATGTTCCAATATTCTTCCGCAGACGGGAGCCGCGGGGCCTCAGCACACACCTGGGCGCCCTTTCCGGCACCTCAGGGCTCGGGAGCTGCTAGCCCGGGCCCGACATCGCTCTTGGAAGAATTTAATCCCCTCGTACACTGGAGGGACTACTTTTTAGGAATAAACCATTTTCGCTTTAGTCCAGAAATGCCCGTGACCTTCAGAATCCTTCCGCTGAGGGCCGCACACGATAATGGGCTTTAAAACGCACCTTTTTATAAAAATACCCCGTGTGGGCCCTTACGAACCCCGGAATCCTCTCGCATTCCCGAAGCAGAATGGTACGGCCCAGGGCCCGCCCCGTCTCCTCTGCGATTGGCCCGACCTCCTGGGCGAGACGCGGGACTCCCGGCCAATGGCCGCTCACGTTCCTGCCGCGGGGGCCGGGCGGCGGAGGGGGGCGGCCTGCGGGGCGCCCCCTGCGCGCCCTGGGATTGGCTACGTCTCACGGCGCGCGAGGACGGCGGGCCCGAGCGCTGGGAACTACGACTCCCGGCTTCCTGCAATGGCGCCCGCGCTGCGCTTGCGCACAGGCGGGGCAGCCGGGCTTCTCTATAAAAGGGGCGCCGAGGGCGGGGAGGCAGCAGTTGGAAGTTGGCAGGTGGAGAGGCAGGTTGGGAGGGGAGGTCGGGGAGGAGGCGGAAGAGACGCCGGCGGAGGGGGAGGAGGGAGGGACAGGAGGAGGCGGAGGAGAGCCGAGCCGAGCCGAGCAGAGCATCGAGCCAAAGGGGAGATGAGTTTGTCTGTCCTCGGCAGAGGCTCCGGCCGGGCCTAAGGAACTGGGAGCTCGGGTTGGAGCGACACCCGTGGAAGTGGGAGGAGGTGGCTCTGGGACTTTAACCCCTTGTGGGCTCTGCGACAGGGGATTAACCCTTTGTGGATCCGGCCCCTCGGAGGCAGCGTCATCGGGTAGTTTTAACCCCTTCGGGGCTGGGCAGAACCCATTGGACTTCACTGCCTCATCTCCTTGCCCACCGGCTCCGCGGTCGTGGGGGGCGCTCTGCGGGGAGGCTCGCGGCCCCCTCCCTCGCACATTACGTGCTGCTCTGCTGCTGCACCCCCTGGACCCGCTAGCTGGCCGCGCTGTGGGCGCTTTAACCCTTTCCTGACTTGCGCGCCCCCAAGTTTGCAGCTGGAGTTTGCGGATAGACGGACTGGCCGAAGGCGTCTCTGCAGGGATTACAGACCGAAGAGGACTCCGCTGGACATTTTGTAAAAGAAAAAAAAAAAAAAAAAAAAAACTTTTTTTTTTTGCTTGAGGACTTTCAGCCAAAATTTTTCAAACTTCAAGAAGAGGATTCTGTTAGCCATGGCCGAGCCGCTCTTGTCAGAATGTCAGCACCAGCCTCAAACTAGCAACTGTTCAGGTGCTGCCGTCCACGACGAGCGGGACCCCGAGCGCCCCCCGGGCGCGGAGGAGCGGGCGCCCGAGGAGGACAGTAGGTGGCAATCGAGAGCGTCCCCCCAGGCGGGGGGCCGTCCGGGGCCGGAGGGGGAGGGGGTCCCGGAGCCCCAGGCGTCTCCCATGCAGACCCCGGCCTGCGCGGGGCCGGAGGCGGGCGAGAAGGGCCAGAACGGGGACAGCGCGTCCACGGGTGGCGCCCCCTCGCCGGTGGCGGCAGCTGATCCGAGGCCCGAGGCCGAGCCGCCCGCACAGCCGTGCCAGGACTCCGACGCCAACAAGTTGGGGGCTGCTGCCGCCGGGAACGAGGAGGCGTGGGGACAGCAGCTGAGACAGCTGGGCAAGAAGAAACACAGGAGACGCCCCTCCAAGAAGAAGCGGCACTGGAAGCCGTACTACAAGCTGACCTGGGAGGAGAAGAAAAAGTTCGACGAGAAGCAGAGCCTGCGCGCCTCCCGGATTCGAGCCGAGATGTTCGCCAAGGGCCAGCCGGTCGCCCCCTACAACACCACGCAGTTCCTCATGGACGACCACGACCAGGAGGAGCCCGATCTGAAAACCGGCCTCTACCCCAGGCGGACCGCCGCCAAATCCGACGACACCAGCGAGGAGGACTTCATGGAAGAAGCGGGCGAGGAGGACGGGGGCAGCGACGGGATGGGCGGAGACGGCAGCGAGTTCTTGCAGCGGGACTTCTCGGAGACGTACGAGCGCTACCACGCGGAGAGCCTGCAGAACATGAGCAAGCAGGAGCTCATCAGGGAGTACCTGGAGCTGGAGAAGTGCCTCTCGCGCATGGAGGACGAGAACAACCGGCTGCGGCTGGAGAGCAAGCGGCTGGGCTGCGACGACGCGCGCGTGCGGGAGCTGGAGCTGGAGCTGGACCGGCTGCGCGCCGAGAACCTCCGGCTGCTGGCGGAGAACGAACTGCACCGGCAGCAGGAGCGGGCGCCGCTGTCCAAGTTCGGAGATTAGACCGAAACTTTTGGGGGGCGGGGGCACAGGGGACTTTTTACAGTGATGGAATGTAACATTATATACATGTGTATATAAGACAGTGGACCTTTTATGACACAAAATCAGAAGAAAACATCCCCCCAGCTTTGGTTGGTTTGGTAAATTGAGCTATGATGTAGTTTGCGTGCTTTCTCCTGTTCTTTAATTATGTGAAATTGAAGGGATGCTTGTTTGCCTTTTTAGAAGTTTTTTTTTTTTATGTGTAAGTAATTTGACCAAGTTAAAATGCTTTTTTCTGTTTAAAATCTTCAAACAGAGCTATAGGGTGGCTAAATCTGAGAACCATTAAATTCATTCTAGTTAAAATAAATTTAATATTTGTAAATGTAACAGCTTCAGTGTGATTTCTAGACCTATTTCAAAATAGTACTGATTTGATGTGATTGCATTGGGGGGGGATAGATTGTTAAATTTATCAGTTTGCAAAAAAATCTTTAATGAGAGGATTTTTAATTTGCTAATTTTTTCCTTGAATGGGTTTTAATGTGCTACAATACACAGTTCAGGCAAAAGATAAAGACTTAATTATCTTCAGTACTTAAGAATGCTTGCTTTCTAGCGCCTTGGTTTTTCTTGATGGTGGAGAAAAAAAAAAACAGTATTAGGTGTTTGGGGAGTAGAAAGTAGCTACAACCAGAAGCTTAAAATTTAACTTCTATTTGGCAGCTTGTTAGGTTAGACAACTGAAGGTCCTGCAAATCGGTTTTTCAGTAACTCCCCTCCCCAATAAGGCTAGGAGTTCCTGGATGCTCTTGGTAAAACTTAGTGTAAACAACAGCTGAATAAACAAGGTGTTTAGAAGTAAGGGATGTGGCTGTTTGGGGCATTCTAAGGACTTATCCTAATTGTCCAATACTTAGGTATCCATAACACCCCTTCTGCCTGCCCTGCCCCCCCCCCCAAAGGAATAGGAGCTGTCTATCCATGAGCATCAAACTAAAATTAGAAATGTCCCCTCACTGTAAATCCAATGTAAAGTTCCTGGCTAAGGAGCTAAAATTAAGTCCTCAGAGGGCAAGGCGGAACCCCTGCACATTCCCTGAACAGCCCTATTCTGTTTCCTAAACTGCGCTGTCTGCTGCTTAGGTTCTTGGGTAGTTCTGCTCCTGAAAATGCAGGGAGGCCCTGGGAATTCATATCTGTTCGAAATCAAAACAGTAGGAAATTATAAATAAGATTTTCCCTCCTGTTACCATGGTTAACCCAGCCCATCTTCACCACAGTTCCCCTAGGGCAATGATACTGCTAAGTCACTGGCATGGGGGTTAACTTGGAGCCTTAGAAACCATGGAGGGCCTTAGGGACCACGAACCCCTTGAAATTACATGTAGACTTGTGTTATATGTATACATTTTTCTGGAGAGAGGATGCAGGAGAATCATAAGATTGTCAAACTTCTTGAAGGTTAAGAACTGCAGGGAAAGGGTAAAAAAAACCTCCCCCATTTGGAAGCTGGCTTTTGCAGCTAAATGGAAATAGTGGAGGAGGTGGGAACTTCCGAGTGAAATGCACCTTATGATGTGTAAGATGCATATACAAATCAATGAATCAAGGGAAATGATGCCAGTCAAGCCTGACTCAGGGCCTTCAAAGCTGGAGGGGATGGTCCTGCTCAGACACATGGTCCACTGGAGATGATGTTTAATCGGTTTTTCCTTTGACCTAAAAAATTACATTAAAGGTCTATTTTGAAATAGTTTTTTTTTCGTGTTTTAATTTTCCTTCTGCTATGACATCATGCAGCAGCCCCAGGAACACTGCTGCTTGATGGAAAGGCAGCAACACTGCCCTCTGGCTTCACAGTGCAGAGCAGGAAGCCTCGGTCCAATGGCACCACAGGATGCAGTGATAGTCTGACATTAGAACTCTTCTTAATATGATGGATTTAACTATCGATCTTGTTTTCCCTACTATTTGTCTTGGAAAGACCCTACGAAAGCATTCATTATGAGGGAAAAAAGTATGTCTTATTCTTCGGATACATATTCGATCGTCTTTAAAAACACAAATAGTTTTTAATCCTAAACATGGACTGAAGTATGCATGTTTGAATTGATTTTAAAGGCACTGACATATTACTATATTGGTTGCATTTATATTCTTAGAATCATTAGGTTTGTGTGAAAGTTTAGTTTTCTATGGACACTTTCTATGTTGAAACAATTAGTATATTGGTCTCAGGACAGAGAGAAAGACTCCGGATTACCTCTAGTAACAGGAAGCTGTGATGACAAATGATCACCAGCCTACTCTAGTCCTTCCCTGAAGTTCTCTGGCAAACATTTTTAACTCAGCTGCATTTACAAATTGACAGTTTCAGCTCATCTCCTTTCTCATACAGGGGCCTGTGTGCCCAATCAGGGTAAACCATTTCTCAAACTTTTGAGACAGCTAGCTAGACAACTTAATCCTTTCAGTAAGAAAAATGTGGGTTAGCCTGTCACAAAAAGCAGCCCTCAGAGGGTAGGGTCCTTTGGATTTCATTTTGCAGGGGAAAGCCAGGGATTCCTGGTCGGTTTAGTTCTAAACAATAGACTAGGTTATCTCTAACGAGATGAAACAATACAAATTAGAGAAGACTAAGAGCAAAAAAACCAGGGCCCTAGTTACACCTTGAACGTACACTCGCAGTGCAACCCCGGACACATGGAAACTCTCTAAGCCTCATTCTGCATCAGCACAGTGGGGTCATGTGCACTTTACGTAACAACTTGCTGTAGGGATTAAACAAGGTAGCATGAAATTAAGTTATACAAAAGCAAGGTAGGATTGGTATTACGAACAGGGCAGTTGCCGATTTGATCAGTATTTTAATTTTCACTTCAGAATAAAATAAAGATCCTTTGCCTGGGGAAATGTAAATAAATGTACTTTATCCGAGTAACTTCAAAAATTAGAGAAATCAGAGGGAATCCACAGAAAAGAAAAACAGTATCCACCACCGCATAATCAACTTTCAGGAGAATAAGGGCTGGCTATATTTAGTCAAATACTAGGTAATGCACCACAGATGTTCCCCTGGCCACTCACAACCCAACAGCTGGCAACAAATATTCACAATAGTGTGATGGAAAAGTTGGTACGGTTAAGTAGTAACTTGTACCAACTATACTTGGGTTTGTGGGGATTTAAGTTATTTTTCACAATTGACAAGATCATTGAAGCAACATTCTACTTTATTATTTTTCTCATCTAAAGTACAAATGGTTGATGCTAGAAATGAATAGCAATAGTGATCTGTAGAAAAGAAAATTCAGGCCCTGAACATAGTGGGATAAAAAAAATACAATCTAGGGGACAACGATTCAATCTATGGCCAAATTTTGCCAGTTTTCTTTGAGTAATGGAAAGGTTACAAACGCATTCTATTTCTGTTGGAAAGAAAACAAAGGCTGGGAGGCCTCCCTGGTGGCACAAGGGGTTAAGTATCAGCACTATGAAGCAATCTGCAGTCACTGCAGCAAGGGAACCCACATGGCACGGCAGACTTCTGTCTTGTCTGCTGCTCCCTTCAGCAGTATATATGTATTTTTTTAAAGATTTATTTATTTATGCATACAAGAACTGGGGGTATAGGCCAGCGGTGTGGTGGGGTGAGAGGATTCACCAGAGACAGAGTGGGGAACAGAACAGGCGGACTGACTGAAATACACTGCTGAGGGGAGCAGCGGGTGAGACAGGAGAGGTCTGCTGTGCCATATGGGTCAAATCTCTGGCCGGGGATCCTCATGCTGCAGTGGCTGCTGGTAGCTTCATAGGCTGCATCTCAACCTCTTGCGTCACCAGGGAGGCCCAGCAGATTCATTTAATCTGACTGTTCTGCTCCCCACTCTGTCTCTGGTGAATCCTCTCACCACCACCCCTGGCCTGCACCGCAGCTCTTGTATGCATAAATAAATCTTGAAAAAAAAAGTCTGGGTTTAAAATGATCACTCATTTAGCACTCAATTCCTCCTGAATAAACTTTTTCCTGGGTTTTCTCAGAGATGGTTCAATGATGACAAACGACGTAACATGGGCAACAGCAGGAATCCCAATAGTTTGTCAATAATCCTCTACACACCAACAAAATTCAAATAGTTGAGTTACTACAGGAAACTGTTGGTAAATCTGTTGAAACAGCTGGTGTGATCTTTCAATACAATACCAAGAGCAGTTGTATTTGACTTTTTTTTTTCTTAAAGATTTATTTATTTATGCATACAAGAACTGGGGTACAGGCCAGAGGTGTGGGGGTGAGAGGATTCACCAGAGACAGAGTGAGCAGAAGAGGCAGACTGACTGAAATATACTGCTGAGGGGAGCAGTGAGCGACACAGGAGAGGTCTGCTGCGCCATGTGCCTAGCTACCTGGCTGGGGATTGAACTCGTGCTGCAGTGCCTGCAGGTAGCTTCACAGGTTGCCACCAGGGAGGCTCCCTGTATTTGACTTTAAGAGCAAAAATTTTAAAGGGAATTGTATCACATTAAGTCATATTCTACTGGATATACCCACTGACTTTTGTGAGAAGTATTCAAAATCCTGGGTCTGTGATGAGCCAAAATAATATTCCTGAAGGAAAATGGGGGTGCCTTAGTGCTCCATACACAAAAATTTGAGATAATGACAGCGTCACTGCTTTTGTAGGCTACTCAGTAGAACTTGTTCTCCCCTCCAGGGGGTCACAGAAGGAGACTGATCTCTGAAGCCTGCCTTCAATGAACGCCAGTACAACTTTGAGGCAAGGGTAAAAGTCCCTTGCCTGGAGGATGGAAGGGAATGCCTAAGAGGTTAATTCTAGTTTCCTCTCTAGTTATTACTAAAAGTATACTTTGTAAAACAGCAAAAAAGAAAAAAATGATAAAGAGTGATGGGGAGAGTTAAACACATACTAAAAACTTGACTAACTATGGAGATCCTTTCAGAAGCACCTTCATCTTCAAGAGGACTGCAGCGAAGCAAGCACTCCTGTCTGTCAGTGAACCCTGCTCACACACAGCCAGCAGTCCCCAGGAGCAGGCCATCAGGCAGATGGAAATGTCCAGGAATTCATGCTTACAACTGCTCCGGACCAAGAAACTGACCCTGGCTCAGCCGCTTCGGTAAGGTAGGCCTCCCAACTGCCCCAAATAACCTTTGAAGCGTACGTTCTAAAGTTCCCCAATAATGAAGTTATAAACATTTACAGAACTAAGGCAGAGCAGTTAGTCCTCAAGGTATTTATGAGGGAAGCAGCACAAATACTATTTTCAAGTTAGGAAACTGAGGCACCTATGTGGGTTTGTAGAATTTGTCATAAACCACAAAGCAACCCAATGGAAAGGGGGGAGCTGAAGAGGAAGTTGAAGGT